AATTCTATTCAAGTGGCCCTGAAACTGAAGCATCTAAAAGGAATTCATCTAATTAATATTATTATTTACACTTGTGCTTTTCTGTGTTGCAAAATTGTTATTTGTACTTTTTAGACTTTTTAAAACAACAGTATAACCCTTTAAATACCTATGTATGAAAATACCTATAGTAAATGGCTCACAACTATTCTAGCTGTAGACATGTGATTAAAACATTCAAACATTCATTTACCATAAGCTGAATAAGAGAACTGGGCCTCAATACCGTCTCAAATGGGAAGGAAATGCATAACAAAACTAAAAGGGATGCCTAAAACCACAAATGAATGAGACCGAAAATAGACTGAGAGTAGATTGCGCACAAGGGGAATTGAACATTACTGTATAAAAAGGAAAATGGGGGAAGAGGTTATGAAAATGAGGGATGCCCTTCTCCTAATGCATCCATTCCCCTTCTACTGACCACATCATGACAGTTCAAGAACAACTAAGCATTTTCTCTTTCTGAGAGGAAGTCAGCTTGTTTTGAACTGCCTGTCCTCTTGGGACACCTTCATCAAGCCAGATAAAAAGATACAGTTTGTAAACTATTACATAACTGCTTTGGTAGTAGGTAGTCCTCCAACATATAGTTTATAGAGTATGTACATTTTCAACAGCTTTTTAGATTCAACAAGTCAGCTGTTTAACTAGATGTTTATCTATAGCTATATGTGACAATTCATAAACATATCTACATATTCTCTGAATTATTTAGTTAAAAATCTACAAATACTAGCTGGTAATGTAAGTGATAATCAACTTCATGTTTATATGTGGTTAAAATTCTGGGCTAAAAGCTAACATGTGTGAATGCACTGCATGGACAAGGCAATATACCACTCTGGGTTTGTTTAGTGGAGAAATGATAATTATATTTAATTAACAGCAATAAAGGATTTGACTCTAGTCAGCTGAATATCAGCCTAATACAGTGGTTCCCAACCTGGGGGTCGCCAAAGACTCATGGGGGGTCGAGAGGCCTTCTTGATGTGAAGGGGTGTAAGAAAACCTAAAAAATATACACAGTTGGACTGTATTTCAGCATTTTGTTCATTTCTGTGAAGAAAACTAAATGAAATTGTTATTTTTAAAGTTTAGATTATTATTTAAGAACTATTAATTATTGTATTAGAAAAGTATGCAGTTAAAAGAACCAAAGACCTAACAGAACAATAAGAAGGAAACACTGAATTTGTCGGAAAAGACACCTATTAAGTATGTACCATTGGTAAAAAACAAAAAAAGTACATGATACAGACGGGGAAATTATATAGAAATAGTCCACAGAATTATCAGGAAAGCTCATCTCTGATGTAATATTCACAGGAAATAATCCAAAATTCTTCAATATCTCTCGTTTTACACAAACATCCTGCAGTTATTGCGTTCAATATTTGGCTTAATTGTACAGTTTACCAGTTATTCTGTACTGTTATTGTTAAGCATTTAATACAATATGAAACACGTTGCTCAGTCAGAGGTTGTTAGTTTACTCAGTGATAAAAAAGGGCAAACTGGTTGGGAACCACTGGCAACGTATGTAACTCCACTGTTACAACTTGTGAGAATATTTAACAACTTTTATAAGAAAGAAAGGAAACGTTTACTTAACCAGTGTGGAAACATATATAACAACAAATCTTTACACGTATTGTAATTATTTCTATTATTTCTAAATTTCTAAACTATTGACAGAATATGTAGGTACATTTGTGAATTGTCACACACGCTCTGGAGGTAATTTGTTAAACAATCTACAGTCAAAGCCAAACAGCTGAATGTTTGAATTTCAACAATTATGAAATGTTAAAGTGTATTCCCATTCTCAAGTTTCAATTATTCTGACGTTATTCCCCATTTCTTTCATTTTTTGCCCAACAACTTTTGCAAAACAGTCATTCATTCATTCCTAGAATGACGATAACACAAAAGGAAAATGTAACACATCGGAGCTTAATTGATTTAATTAGATCATACAAGTCTACATAATTGCAATCAGAAAACAGTCAACTGTAAATCAGACTCTATTATCTATAGTTTTATGGCTTCAAGGTTTACAGACAGAGTGAGCTTTGAACCCTGCAGAGTGACAGTGACAAGTTGAGTTTCTTTAAACGGTCTTGACTTTCCTGCTGCCAAGCAAAACCCAACACTAATATTCAAAAGTGAAACTGCCACACCACAAAGAGGTAGGTTGAAACTACCAATTTTTAGTGTTTCTGTTTCGCAGAAATAATAAAAAATAATCACATTGGACTATCTCATCTAGCCCTATCACTTTGTCTCCAACACCTATAACTTTACTTGACCACACTATGAGATATGTGTTTTTGTTGTGCTTGCAGATTCAGAGAAATGACACCACTCTTTATGTATATTATTTATATTTTTTATACAATTCTTTTTCATACATGGTGTCTAAAACGAAACTTTTTTAACTTCAAAAACTGACTTTGAGAAATGTGTCATTAAATCTAAGTGTTATTATGTCATTTTAACTTTAACTTTTCCCTAAGAAACATGAAAACTCCTCCACAGATTTAAACAAATACAATATTTTATTATTATTATTCTTTAAAAAAAATAAAGAAGCAAGTTGCTGTTGATCGAGACAGTGTGGGTGTGAGAAGAGACTGCTTAGTGGCCATTAAATTCAAGAAAGATGATTTTTACATTTAATCTAGGTTTAATCAAAGAAGTGCAGTCTATCAGGCCATCAATTCTTGCTTGACGTCCAAGTGATTGACTGTAAACAAACTGAATAAAGTGAAAGAAAAAAGAAAAGAAAGAAGAAAGAATCGACCAGAACATTCAAAAATTGTTGCTCTGCCTTCTTATTGTTTAATGCAGGATTGTTTAATTGTTATATTTTATAAATAAATAGATAAATAGACAGATAAATATGGTTTGTAACACGTTTTCAGTATTTCCTTCTAGTTCAGTGATCAGTACACGAAAGCTTTAACACAGTTGTTTAATTTTCATTATGATGACAAGACTTGGAGATGATTAATAACATTTTATATGCCTCAGTTGTTACTCCTTTGAATGTTGGGTGACTTCCGATGTTGTAGCCCACACATTAGATTTATCTCTGGTTGGGAATTTACCTCCAATGATTTATCAACCCCCTCATGGTTGCATAATTTTCTGGAAGAGTGAGCAGTTCCTTTAGCCATAAGGAAAACCAAAAATACAAACCAAACACCTCAATTGTACAGCTAAGAATGCATTGAAGGCCATATGGAAACCTATAGTCAAATGTTACTGGCATTTAGAAGTTATGACAAGGTGTATCTTTAATGACTTCCTTAATAACAATGATTTTGCACAGCAGCAAAGTCAGGCACGATGCCTCGGTAGAGCTTTTGTTTTTTAGACCCAGAGAAACATACATACACAACTAATAACAATAATAATAATAACAACAGTAACAACAACAACAATAATAATATAATCATCTTTATTTAAGATTACTTTTTAACAAACAACTTCAAAACTTTACATAATTCAGTGCATTAAAAACCAACAATAAAAGCAAATAAAAAACTAATGACAAATAAACAGTGAAAGAAAATGCAAGAACTAAAAAGATTCATACAAAATCAGGATGATATAAAGTATATATTAAGATGCATACACAAATTGGGAGCATGAGAGCACATATATAAGTGTAAGTGCAAACTGAAAGAAATAACATCATATACATAAGTGAAATGTAAATAAAAGATATAAGCTCAAATAAAGCTGGTAAAATCTAAGTTAGTCACATCTATAGGTAAATAGGATGTAACTATAGGGGGTGGTCTCGTATAATAATGGTCTGCTATCGAGCAGACAAAATGCCAATAAAAGAGCAAACTCTTGAATTTAGAAGAGATCAAAGTGCAAAATGGAAGTGCATATAGAAATACTAAAATGAAAACACACAATCAATACATGTAATGACAATAAAGTTAAAATAAAACACCATAAAATAGTACTATAAAGAGGAAACATGGAAGTAATGCAATAATGGAAAAGTAAAAGTTGTAAAAACGAGTCTGGTCAGTGGAGCAGCTAAAAGGTTTTGGTCAGCTGATCTTAGGGGTCCTGGCTGGGCTGTAAGGGGTTAAAATGTCTTTAATAAGGCTGGAGTCACACCATGAATGGTCTTGTAGGTGACTAATAACATTTTTAAATGTATTCTAATCATAATAACATACCGTAAAGTAAGCGAGGAGGCTAAAATAAGAATGTGGTGAAATAAAATTAATGGAGAGTACAATATAGAGAAACAGAAATTGGTCTGATATTGGGAAACATTAAAACTTAATGAGAGGGGCCTTTTTTGTTTTGCTTTTGTGAGAATCACTGAAACTGTGTGTCAGTAATTACTCATCAACATCATGGGACTCCCGAAATATTCCCTCAAGATGCTCAGTCAAGACTGAACTCACTGATTCAGAAGTTTCAGAAGTTAGCAGTTTCTGACAGCTTGCCACTTTCACTACACAGTTAAATGACCATGTGATGAAACTCTGCACGAATAAAGTAGTTTATTTATTTAATTGAACAGTGACCGTGCTCATTAATACACATTGCTGTAATTGTGCTTGACAATATCACCCTTAAAAAGAACATAAAATTAAAGAATTTGCTTTGTATCTGTCTATTAGTGTGTCTGTGTGATATTTAACTTATGAATAAATAAAAGTAAAAAGGTGATGCATCCTTGAATACGCAACCATATTCAGTACTTAAAGACACAAGGGCATAATCACACAATATGGGTAGAAACTGTTTATTATTTAAGTGTCACTTTAGATAATAGGTATTATAAACTTTAATTAGTGCTTGTGAAAACACCCATTCCCCAGATGTAATGTGACCAAAAAAGGAGAAAGAAAAAAAAAACCAAGTCAATGCATTTCCTTACTCAGCTTACTCATTCCTGCCTGAAATATAGTGACAGCAAGACGCTGAGAGAGTAAAAAAAGGAAAAAAATAAAAAACTCCAAATCTGATAGAAACCGAAAGCAAGAACAGGACATATATATAAACTGTACAGCCTCACTATAGCATGAAGTTACCTCATCTCGCTCAGAGTTCACTGTTCACTCCCGCTCCTCCAAGGTAAGCTTGAAAATAATACATTTTTACACAAGTTTGAGGGTTTGAGTATTTTTAAGTGTGTTATCCTGGGACATGTATATCTTTATCTACTTATATCAATTCATATTTTAATTATTTTCTGTATCACCATGTGAGCATAAAAAACAACAACACAGCAGGCAACTGTAGTGACGGCGTGTTTATGGCAGTGCATAGAAATGGAACAATTTGTGGGAAACATTTTGTTTGTATGTCTTGGACACGCTTAAGTCCACGTCAAACTTCAAGTAAAGGCTTGTCAAACAGCAGCAATGCTCCTGTATGCTTGACAACATTTAGTATTCATAATAAATTCAGTTACCATAACCTTTCTGTTGTTTATTTGTATAGAACTGAGTGAGCTCTGGTTGTCAACATCATTAGAGATCACTGTCATGGTTTCAGTGAATGAGAAAGACGTTGACTAATCAAGAAGACTGTGTTGCACCAACGACACAAGATGCAACTCAATAAAATGTCCGAAATGAAATGGAGCATTTGCTTCTACAGATTAATCTTCTCAATCTTCCTTTAAAGAACATAGGTCAGTAGTGATGTTGTGTGGTTGGATAATATGCTGAAAAAATGCTTCCTTCCCCACTGAAACCATTTAGAGGAATCAAAAAACGTCTTTTTCCATACATGTGCAACCAAATCAACTGTTACTGTGTCACTGAATTACAGAAGACAGAAAGCTTGTTTTGGGATGTCGTTTTGGGGTTGGACGGCGGGGGTGGCTTTTCTTTCAGAAATATTAATGGACTTCCTTTTGGATACTAAATATGGTTAGTACAGTTAAGTTCCCATAAAGAGACACTCAGCCTCGGAATGCCCAATGTGTGCTGGAAGTGATACTGTAGTGTCAGTCAGAAGAGTCGCAGAAGTGACAGATCTGAGTGGGTTTATACCTGAAGAGCAGCTGAGCAAATCATTTTGATTCAAACGGCCCATAACTCTGGTCATGTCTCTGTTTCAGATGACTGTTTGGTTGCAGACTCTCGTCCTCCTTTGCTGTATACTGAACTGTGTGGAGTCCTCTGCTCCATCTCCAGACCGCCAGAGGAATAAATATAATTATTCCTTTCTTCTCACGAAGTCCACCCGAACTCGTGTCCAGCAGCTGCAGAAGATATATGTGAGTGCTGAAAACTCCTCTCTGCTCTCCTGACAAACAGCTAATCACTGTGAGCTCTGCACACATCCAGCATTAGCTTTCCCTAACCATAAATCTTTAATTATTACTGTGTTTACTTCAATAGAAGGAGCAGCAGTTGGGAAATCAGCATTTTGAGGACAGAAGCAGGCAATTGAAGGACCTGCCATCACTTTCTACAAATTTCAACAGCTGGCTAAAACTGACGGTTAGTATCCGTCTGAGTGTTTCAAAACAATCCCACAGAAAATCACACTGCGGTTGTTATTGTGAAAAAAACGTCCTCAAAGTTTTCTGAGAATTTCTTCCATTGTTTTCATTTTTCAAAAACATTTTTTTTTTCCATTATGGGGATTAAAAAAAAACACAAACCCAATGACATTGTCTGAAACTCTGCTCTTGCAGGGTGTAAAACTTTGAGAGGAATTCCCCTTTTAGAACTTCAGGCCTTTAAAGGCGGTTGTGCAACATTCTGATTATGTAATTGTGTGGTTGTCTCTCGTTGTGCGTTCAGGACTGGGAACGACTGCATGCTGCCCTAAGGGACATGCAGACCTACTGGAATATGCTGGAGTGGAAGAGAAAACAGCTGGAGGAAGAGCAGATGGCGGGAGTGGGGGATTTACCTCAGAGCATCAAGCACATTCAGCTGGACCTGAGGGATCTGATGAGCCAAGCAAGCAATCAGGTATCCACAGTCTTCTTACTGAAATCCACCCACGTTTTGTCCCCTTTTCAGCCCACATGTACACTTTGGAGGAAGTGACACCAAGGTCTGATGATCAATTGTTTTGCTTTCTTATCCAGATGAGTTACATGCAGAGCTCTAGGATGAGGCCAACCTCTCCTCCAGTACGGGCACCCTTGAACCCAGAATCCAGGTCTAAGACGGTGTGGGACAGCCGAGTTGAGGGTTACATCATTCTGAGGGATCTAGACCTTTACCTCACCAAACTGGCAAGAGACTTTCTTCTACTGGCTGCAAAAACACCCATGACTCAGCACTGAAAGAGCACTGGGACCTTGACAACACACACATGCACACTGCTAAAAGAAGCAAAGGCTGAACTGACAATCAGCACCTAACAGAAAATTGGAATACAAGTGATAACTTTAATAAGTGCTGCAGTGGTGTTGTCAACACTTTACACAGAGCTACCATTTAAGCTTTTTTATATGATGTTTTAGTGCATATTTATGGGTTTTCTTGGGTATTTCCCAGAGTTTCTGTCTAAGCTCTAACTGTAAGTTAGCAATAAGCTGCCAGAGCAGAGAGAACTCTTTCCAACATCCTGTTTTTCCCCCAAGCCCTCAATCTACTGGACTTTCCAAAGATATATTTACTATTTATTAATATATTTATTAACATGTTATTTATTTCAAAGTGGTTTGTTTTATTTCTCTTAAAATAAAGAGGTAAAGTGTTTTACATTAGAAGACATTTTTATATTTGATGTGTTTAAATATATTTGTGTATGATTATTTATGACAATAAAAAGATGAAGCATTTGGAACAGTGGCGACTTCATGGTATGATTTTCTAATCTTTAAAAGAATTAGCAGTAATTATTGCAACACTTGTAATAATGATGATGTATATGAATTAATAAGGGTTCTTTCTTCTGTTGTGTGTGCTTTGTGGTATCATGCTGCAGACTACTAACTAATTAATAACTTCTGAGTGGCAATCCTCCGGTTAGCTAAAAGGATTACTGTTTGTCTGGTTGCTGTTTTCCGTTCTTCATGTGGTGTTGATCCGAGGGGCAGTCTGCAGAGTGAAATCACATCGAACAGTCAGCTGGCCAAAATGTTTATAAAGTTAAAAAAAAACCCATCCTCCCTGCAGGCTCCACACATGACATTAGAACTGCCGCTGACTCACCACTAGCAGATGTCCTCGCTTGCCTTTGGCCACCTTTAGCTCTGAACCCCTGACGAAATCAATGATTCCCTCCTTGCCTCGAGCCACAGCAAACCTAATACTGCACGCCGCACAGGAGGTAACAAATAAAGACAGGATAGGGAGATGAGCACCGTTAGGTTGGCAACAATCAACATAGAGAAGCAGTCAGACAGGCCTCACCTGCCCGGGCTGATGTTGACGTAGTTGACCTTGTTGGCCATCATGGCTAGTTTTGTCACCAGCTCAATCACATGGGTGCACTGCAGCACCACATCGCCCTGAGGGAGACACAGCTGCGTTTAGATTGGCTTCGTGGTTGTGCACACAGTGTGTAAACAGTCAAGAGTCTGCGTCTCACCATTACCTTCTGCTTATTGTCCTCACTGGGCATGTGCAGAACAAACATCCCATCGCTCAGAGAGCTCACAGAGATACCTGTTAAAAAGAGAAAACCTGGCTTAAACTTATTGAACTAAGGAACCTAAGAAACGTCTTTGTTAAATCAATAACTGGTTCAATATTTGTAATGTCTATAAGTCCTCTCAGTTAAAAGTATCTTTCTTTGAGCTGGGACACAAACACCATTTGGTTGCCATGGATATTTCTGCACAGAGAAGGCACAGTAGCCGAGATATTATGACTGCTGAAGGTCAAAGAAAAACAGACCTAATTCAACTCCAACAACTGTAATAAATCCTCTTTAGCAATACAAATACAAAGGAAGGATTTAAGGACATTATTCAGTATCCTAACATAACAGATTTCTCAAACGACCCCTTTTCCCCACTCAGGGCTAGTTTTCACCTCTCAGAGCAGCGTAGTCAATCCTCTGTTTGATCTTGGTCCTGTCCACCAGCACAGCAAAGGTGTTAGTGAGGAGCAGCTGGCGAGGGCGAGGCTTAAAACCCCTCCTGTCATACTTTATGACTGCAACACCGTACTAGGAAGCACAAGGAGACACTGTGAGGCAGTTGAAAGGTTATGTAGCAGTTTTATCATCATCTCACAGAAAAAGGAAAGAAAAAAATCCCACCTGCACTTTGTCATTGCCGAGGGTCTGGACCACTTTGAGATTGATCTGCTCACGTTCTATATGAAGCAATAGGAATATAAATGTTACATATTTGTTGCTACATCATCTGTGTGGTGTTAAGTATGTACAGGGGTCACATGAGGCTGGCTACAGAAACGATTAATCACCATAAGGCCCAATATTAAAATGCCCAACTTTACAGCAGAAATAAACATGTTTACAGCCTGGTACAAAAAAAGGGTTTAATCTCTACAGCTAAATTCCCTGTTCATGTGTTTAAATTATATTAAGGATTAAAGTTACACATAATTAAGGGACTGGATGCTTTGAGTGACAGGTGGGTGCCGTCACAGGCAGCGGTTTCAGCAACAATACTTCATTCAGTCCGCCTCATCTCCACCCACATTCCATGTGTTTGCCCATTTCTAGCCGGGAGCCAGAGTGACAATGAGTGACATCACTGTAACTATGTCAACACGTACCCAGCCTGGAGTCCAAAAACAGCCTCCCAACACTCTGAGGGTAGCTGTCTTTCTGATCCTTGAAGATCTCACTGGCTTCAACCTTCTGCATCATCTAGAGCAAAGGAAAAGAATCAAGCAAGATGAAAAATGAGCAGATTTGTTCATCTTTTAAGGTTTAAGGTTCTGCCTTCTATGGTCAGTGTACCTGCTTCTTCCATTCAGGCTGGACCCTCCTGCAATACTTTATGACCATGTTTCTCATGTGGAGCCTCCGCAGGTGCTCCGAGGCCTGTAGGGCACCATGGAATTAACAATGCAGAATTTGCATTAATAATGTCACAGATTATTACGGGTATATATACTTTTATCTCTATGCAATGTTGTAAGTCAGCAGGATGAGCCTCTGTGTAGCTCCGGTTGTTAATACCTCAACAAGGGAGGGAGGAGGTGTCGGCCAGCTTTTGTCCAAAACGCTCTTGGGCAGGTTTTTGCGTAGATTCTTCAGGAAGGAGTAGCGTACATGATCCAGGAAATACTCATTCTCAGGGCAGTATTCCTCATGACGGTAGATGAAGCCTTTTATGAACCTGAAAAAAAAGACAGATACAAGGAAGAAAACTGACTATAGGTGCACAATGCAGTTGAAACATGCATACAGAAATAAACCGTAACAAAGTATCAGTCAAGCACCTGCGTATTAAATCAGCAGCCTGTCGACGCCTCTTAGCCCTCCTGCGTGCTTTCATCCCACGCCACCCAGACTGGATCATTATCACTATACATACACATACATGCATATATTAACACCAAGGCAACTTTTATACTCAGCCAAAGAGAACATCCCAAAGTTAGTATAGCATGTTGGAAAAGTGAAATTAAGTCAAAAAAATACATAAATGTCCACTCAAGTGGGAACATGGACCACGTGAGGGGCATTTTTCAAAACTCTGATGGCCATTTTTATGCATATGTACACAGCCCAGCCCAATACAATGCAAGAAATCCCAAATCAACATTTAGAGAAGTGAAAATGAAAGTAAAACACCATCAGAAAAACAACAAACTAAAGCTTAGTTTTGGCAGGCTAAATGAAAATGCATCAAAGTCATAAAAATATAAAAAGCACAACATAATAGACCTGATCACTTCTGTGAGTACTTCTTTCACTTTTAGGGACACAATGAGACTGTTTCTGTAAGGGAGAGGAAGGAAACTGTGACAGCAGTGTGATGTGCTCTGACCTGCGTGTCTGATGCGTTGGTACTTGGCTCTCTCCCTGTAGCCTCTCCATGATGTCTGCAGCGCCAGAGCTGGAACACGACAAAGAAAAGAGATTAAAGGTGGATTTATGTGTTCAAGAGGTCCTGCTAATTCATAGGGATTTCTCCCACAAAGGTAAGATTTGAGTGGGAGTCTTTTCTGGCCCTAATGTTTACAATCCATACTGCTGTTACTTACCTATGTCTGGCTTTTTTGCTTCTAGTGCATCTTCAGTGGTGAAGAGAGTTTTTGGGAAACGGATGAAGATTTTTGACCTGCGGAAAGTACAAGTACTTTGGGGTTGATGGCATTTGATAAGCGCCTCAATCCAAACTGCTTTTAAATATGATTAGTTTGCACCCATTCATTTAGTCTGTGACTCATTGTCCCTCCAACAAAACATTACCTTCCCAGTTTGTACTCTTCTGCTTTGTAGCCTAGGTGGTTGACCAACGTCAAGACACCATCTGCCAGTCTGCCATGCCAGTTGGGCCATGTCTCAGGACACAGGGGCTTATACCTAAGGCCATTTGTACGTAATTATAATGACAGAAAGCTGAACATAAGCGTAAACACAGTAAACAGTCACTGAGGCTGTAAGTCATTCCAAGAGAAGGTCAGTCACCTCTGCAGGAAGGCTTCAAAGCGACGTCGGTAGGCAAAGCCAGCTCTCCTGACCCTCAGGTTTTCCATTAGGCCCAGGTACTTCACCTGGTGCCTGACCAGAACTTCATCAAACCTTCCTGCAGGGAGAGATCTCATTTACTGGTGACAATAATAGACGGATGGCAAATCATATGGCACACATACTGTAATATAGTACATACTATACATTCACATGTATACAGTAAGGTGTCAAGAAGAGACTGACACTCGCTTCAGCTACAGCGCTCAACAGCTGCGTCTGGCACGTGTGCAGTGTTTACACCGACAGCGTGTCAGCTGCAGCTGCTGCTAGCCCTATCTTTCTATACTGAATTTGCCTTTGAGAAATGCAGTACAATAACAGCCTTTTTAACATATGAATGGATTCTGTCCACAGAAATGCCAGAGAGCTTTTAATCAGGTACAGGAGATATTGAGTTTAAAAATTGCATTTATGTTGTTTGCCATGACTGTAACACATTCTACAGGTATAGACATTGAAACTGTAGTGAAAGGTGTACATGTTGCTGGTATGTTGTCAGTATGAGTATGAACAGACCCTTTTCACTGTCTATTTTTTTCTGGGAACTACATAGGAAAAATAGGCGAGACCTCGACTTTTTATTTTGGCATTGAAATAAGCAAGATGTTCTGCCAAGCAAACGCAGTGCTCAGGTAGGCAGTGTGAACGAGCCGTAAGGTCATTAATTACCTCAAATAAATGTATTTTTTTTAAGTTATTGTTTATTTCATATATTTTGAAAAAACATTCTTGTTGCTAATGAAAACCCAACACTCCCTCAGTCTCTTTCATATTAAAATGCTTTAGAGGGCAGAATTTATTCTCTGGGGGACTTTCATTGTAATAACTCAATGTACATTAGAAGATGTAAAAGTGTACCTGGCTGCTTGGCATCATTAGGTTTGATACAGCGCACATAGGATGGCTCTTTAGACATGAGGATCTCCATGAGTTTCATCAGGCTGTTTTTAAACTGAGTGGCAGCCTAAAGGTCAAATAAAAAAACATGACATTATGGGAAACTCTCTGTATAATTCTGTGTATGTGTTGGCTTTTGAAGACCACAGAAATACCTTAGATTTAAAACAACACCTGTTTTAGAGGATGTTGGGGGGGGGGGGGGGCGCGGGGTATTCTCACCATTTCTGAGCGTTTCTGGTCTATCACTTCCTCTCTGCGAAAGCAGTGCCTTAGGATCTGGTTTTCTGACTGGCACATGACCTGAACACACACACCACACAACCACATGTCAACATGTCCCTCTTCCTCTTCACTTAAGAGACACACAGAGGTTTTTAAAGGCTGTGGTGAGGCTCTGCCTTGGTTTCATTATGCTCACCTCTTTCAGGTTCCTGTTCAGCGAATCATTGTTCTTGTCGAGGAAACCTGAAAGAGACAAACAAATGCACTGCATCAGCTGGTTGTGAGACACACTCTGAAACAAATGTTGTGTCAAGGGAATGAATGTTGAATAAGAAGAGTCAACTGATTTATCTTGTGATAGATTACATCTTACCATTGACATTGTAGTTGACCTCTCCAGCATAATGCAGCAGCCTGAACTCCTCCCTACTCATCACCCTGCGGGTTTTTCCATTTGCCAACTTGTGCCTGAAAGACATACAAAGTATGGCTGTCACTTTTTACTCAAAATTCGAAAAATGTGTTCATAAGTGGTTCATTTTCATATTCCTGTTTGATTAAAACAGACCATTGGAAGTATTTTGCCTTGTAATCCAGCCAAAGGAGCTCCACTATCAGCTTGACCTATGGCATGCCCTATCGATCTGCTAGTAAACTAAGCTAACATGGTTATGTTGTTTAGTTTGTAAAAATGTCATCACTGATAAGATAGCAAGTTTTATATGCGGCCCATTGGTGGTGACAGCCCTAATACACACACAAACTTGCTGATATAAGAAGCAGTATGTACAAGAGCCTTTTCCGTGTGTAAAAATGATGTCTGATATAAGTTGATGCTTACGTGACAAAATGGGGATGGCCACCAAGTGTGTCTTCCAATTTCTCTAAAAAGGACACATCGCAGGTCTCTCCAGGTCTCAGACACTCCTCATCCTGGAAAAAACATTCACACTATTTAACTTGCAGTGACAGAGAGAAAGACAACACCGTATGCAGAGACAAAAATAAGAGTTGTTGTGTGCACCAGAATGGAGATGATGCCTTTGTGCTTCTCCTCTATCAGGTCACAAATTATCTTGTTGTCAAAGTACTGCACTGTCTCCCACTGAAATTAGAGGGAAACATTTGTGTTAGCATGAAAATCTAAATAATAAATATATCAAACTTACTTGTTTTGACTACCCAAACAACAAAGGACTTACTGCAATTCCCTCTGTCTCATACTCCTCCTGCTCAGATCTCAGAGTGAGCTCAATAAACAGCTGCTGGAGCTTCTCATTGCAGTAGTTGATGCAAAACTGCTCAAAACTGCAGGCAGAAATATATGGAAAATTAGGTCTAGTGCATGCTAGAGTTATGTGCAAAAAGTGCACTAGAGACAACTACTGACAAACTGTGCTGAGAAGAAGATTAAGGAATTAATATTACTCAAACTCATACCTGTTGTGCTGTAGGACCTCAAAGCCATATATATCTAGAAGCCCTATAACGGAGGAGCCCTTACTGCTCTGGTAGAGTTCATCCTGTGAAACACAGCCTGCAATCAGTGGTACAACACTGCAACTGCCCCACAACATGATGCTGAAATTCCCACTGTTGTTTTTGAGATATTATTAGAAGTGTTACTGCACCTTCAGAGCCAGCGACTGGTTGATCTTCTCCACCAACCAAGTGAAGGTCCGACCATACACAGCCTTGGCTAAGGCATCACGGGCAGACACTGCCTGCTCAAAATTTAGTGGGCTGATCATCTGTAAAGTGCAAAAGCAAGTATGACGAAAACATTTTTAAATCGCACAATACACGCCAAACAGCTGAAAACATGAGGACAAAAAGAGCGTCACCTCCTCTCCTTTGGCAGTGAGTTTCTTGTGAGTGAGTGCCTCCCTGAGGGCTGAGCCATCAACACCCAACAGCTGGAAAACAACCACACATCTGTTCTGAGTGATGCCTTTTTGGGAGATTTTGTGCATATTTGAACATCGAATAATAGCAGTGGGACTGGTCTGACCTTCGCAATATTGTTTATCTGAGTCTCAGTGGTGATATAAGTTTCTCCTTCCTCCCCTTCCCCAAACTGAGTGTTTCCCAGGTGGAGAACACTGCCGATGATATTCAGCAATTTCTGAGGTCAGACACAGGAAAAAAACGTTAACAACAACCTCATAGAACATCTGTTTTATTAACTAAATGAATGTCGAGACAGTCACTGAGAATATGATCATTAAAATACAGTCAGAGCCAGAGAAATTGTACTTTTTAAGTGAAAAAGTTGTAAAAATTGCTACTAAAACTATCACTATTTATTTTATTCATAGAGAGTTATAGAGTTGTTCTCAATGTGTTCATGATGATAAGAAATGTGGTGTTTGGCCAATGTAAAAAAACAATATTCCCTGTATAATGAAAAATGTAAAAGCCTGTCTTGGGTCCATTCCTATGACTCTACCATTTAAAGTGTTCCACTTTAATGTGGCAAATGTGGTAAACCAGAGAACAAGAGTGACAAACAAAACAGTTTGTCACCTGCATTCACTACAGTCATTCAGTGCTGTGATTGTTACCGACCTGCACTTCTTCCTCGGTGAAGCCAATTATAGGCAGGGCCTTCATCACAACTTTCCAATTATTCTTGTCACTGACAGAGCTGAGCCTGGGACAATTGCCCTGAACAAGACAATTCAATATTAAATTGCAGCTGATGGTATAATTGCATAGACCTCGGTTTGAAAACAAGTAATTCATCAAACGTCTGCACCACATACACACCTTGACCAGATAGTGGTAGTTCTGAGGATTTCTTTCCAGATCCAGTGTGTTAAGCAGGTTGTCATCCCCTCCATCCAGAAGCTGATAGAAGATGTGGAAGTTCCTCTCACCGTGGTTCTGGTGTACTACACGGGATTTCTCCAGCAGGTAGTTCAGGATGTGACCGCCCACTGGTGCCCCCTAAGAGAAGTTACAGAAAAAGATGGGAGCAGACAGTGACTGTTAAAAGCAGGTTTAAATGTTTGAGCGTCATCAACTGACAATAACTACAATTATCAGTATGATGTAAGCATATATTATTTCTATAGAGTGAGAGTGTTTACCCTAAAGTCAAACTGGACATCCATGTATTTTCCAAAGCGGCTGGAGTTGTCATTCCTCAGTGTTTTGGCATTGCCGAATGCCTGCGCAAAGCAAAAGAGCCAGGAAATTGGAGGGAGGAAGTGAAATCAAGAGCAACAATGGAATAACAAAATCCACCAGGAAAAAGCATTAACAAACAATTTATTTATAAGTATTTATAAACAACAAAGGTAATTCTGATTTCTCAGATAAACGACATAATATCATATATTGTGAAAGACAAATAAGTCTGATAGTGGCTGTACCTCCAGAACAGGGTTAGACTGCAGAAGGCGGTCACCAAGGGCAGCCATGTGATCATTAGTGGGGCAGGTGACTGCGTAGTAGAGGAGGATCTTCTTGGAGGCCTCTGTTTTACCTGCTCCACTCTCGCCCGATATGAGAATACACTGGTCCTTCCTCTCAGTCCGCATGGCCCGGTAAGTGTTGTCTGACACGGCATAGCTGAGGGAAAACACAAAAACAGCATCAACTACAGATCAACATGCAGTTGAAACGTGGTGGTGGAATAAAGTCACGCAAACAATCTGTCATAATAAAATGTTACATCAGAAGTTCACATGCTTCATTTGTGTTAAAAACAAATACAGTTTCCCAACAAAATATAAGAATCCATAAAATTAGCCAGCCTGTCACTAGACATACAGCAGGTAAAACATTTTTTGTGATTAAATGTTCTATTCTAGCTGGAAAGTGGAGGACAGTGAAGGAGTTTGGTAAAAGAAAAAAATGTCTGAGGACCATAAAATGACTCACATGTGAGGCGATATCTCATAGAAGCTGACCCCTCTGTAGCGATCCATCTGCTGCTTGGAGTAAATCTCCAGCTCTTTGTAAGGGTTCACCGACACCAACACTGAGCCAATATATGTCTGAGCCAAAATATTAGAACACATTAAAAGTATGTCTCACCACACCAACTGAAATGTTTGGGAACATAAGAAGAAAATTGGCTTTATTACATAAATGAGGTTTTCTCCAAATCGTCTCCGTAGGTTCTCTATGAAGGCTGCCTCGCTGTTGTAGTTTTCCAGCAAGACAAAGTCCTGCACCCCAACCCTGTCCCGGGCAGTCAGGGCACTCTCCATCACCAGGCGCACTCTTCCTTCAACATCCACTTCCTGCGGACAGAGAGAGAAGGAGCATTATTATAAGGAGGTAAAGAAATGAAGCACCTGCCACAGTTCAGCAGCAATGCACAGACCTCCCAGTAGCTGTAACTACACAGTTGACCAGCAGGGGGTGCAAAAGGCCTATTCCGATTTCATCTGAGGCATGGTACATTCACCCAGTTATGAAAGAATTAACATCTGGGGCTCAATAGTCCAATAATTGCCACATAATATATTACAAAATAGAATCCATTTATGAGACAATACGTATTAGGGAGACACTATCTTCAAAATATCACGGCAAATGACTCGAGACTTACTGACCACATCACCAAAACAACACTCTGTAAACACACAAAGTAAGAACAGTTCCATCGAGCCTTGCCAAGATTAAACAATGAAGACATTTAAGGAATCCAAATGATAAACAGACAAGATAGACTCTTCTGTTATGTGACGGTGAGATAGTGTACTATGGTGTATGTACAGTACATACAGCTCTAAATCACCAGACGGGATTTAACCTATGCCACTGGGAAAGTGTGTGTACATGTCAACCCCACTGTGATGACAAACATCATAGTGCAGACAGGAAATAATTAAGAGTAAAATTCTCAGATATGCCCTACAGTGAGATATTACACACAACTACACGCACAGGCATGCACACAAACATACAAAGAGATAAAAATGTCAGCAGTCAATACTTACCAATATTAAATATCCAGACCCACAATTCAGTGTGTAATCAATACACTACACTGCAGCCAAACCAGCTGCACGTCATCTTCAGTATCACAGATACATTTATAAGAAAAGCCGCCCTGCTGTTTTTCCTTTAAACATTCATAAAAAAAAACTGCAGAAAGTGGAACAAAGGGGATAGACTTCCACAGGACTTCTGTTTTTCTTGAATGCAAGAGCCTCTCAAGGGTCTCATTTGGCTGCATAACGCCGGTAAAAGGTCATTAACTTTGAACACTGGATGCAGGAAAATCCTTAAAAAAACAAGAGGACAACAGTGGAAGATTGCCAAGAAGGGAGAGCAAAGGAAAGTCACTGGATGCTTCCACTGCAGCCCCCTCCTCTTTGCTTCACCTTGGAGTATTGTTCTCCCACTCCTGCAGGTGGGCTTCCAAAAGATAGTAATTGCAGTTCACAGTCAGATTTTCCAAAGGATACAACTAAGGAATGTTAGGGTCAGGTTCAGGGCAGGCGTTCAGTGGATGCCACTTAATCTTTCTATGTGGGTGTCAGCAGTTTTGCATGCTTTTATATCCATTACTGAGGATGTATTGTGGTGTTTGAGGTGTGTTTGCATGCCTGGTGAACAAGAAATGTATTAGCACTTACATTCATGACACCTGTGCGGCAAAAGTGGAATAAGCTTTAGGTTGTAGGACATCCAATGAAGGTGCAGTTGAATTGCACAAGAATATGTACTTGCTTTAGTTTGACCCTTATGAGTGTGTGTGTGTGTGTGTGTGTGTGTGTGTGTGTGTGTGTGTGTGTGTGTGGTTGCAGCTTATCACATAATGTCACATAGCTCAAGGGGGGCTTGCACACTAATATGAAGCTTAGAAAGCACCTCCATGTGTTTAGCATACACATCAACCTTTCATGGTGGATGACAATGACCAGCACAACTTGGCTCTGAACTGTAACAGACTCCTTTGGCGTGGATCTTTCCATCTTCCTCAGATCTCATACCTTTCATGTGGTGTTATTAAGATGTGCAGTAGCTGCTGTGCTGACAGTGTTTGTGTCCACCGTTCCAGTGTCTGAAACATTGTGTGATAATCTTTCTTTCTGCTGCTTAAGAAAGACAGCATTAAATGTGCACTGATCAGCCTTTCCAAGAAGCAAAAACTCAAAAACATAGCAAACATTGTTTTCTCTCAGCAGTCATGAGTTGGCCCAGAAATCACTTTTAATAATGAAAAGCCTCATCCAAAACGCAGACCCACTGCTGTGGTAGAGGAAATCATAAAGGATGCAAAAATCATTTTTATGGAGACACTGAGGGCTGCGATACCTCAAGGGCTACAGGTGTGGGATGGAGATGTAACCAGAATACAGTGTAATCCTTGCAGTTTTGTGAACTGACCCGAGGCTCGGTTGTTACAGCAGCGAGAGTCTGATCTCACTGACAAGCTCCTCGGAGTACTTGGGCGCATTATGGGGAGTTTGACTTGGAGTACCAGGGAGCTTTGGTGAAAGCTGCAGGTTTGTATGTGCAGCAGCAGTGACAACCAGCGAGTAAGTTAACCTAACAGTAGTGGTACTTGGCTCCAGGCCCCATGACTAAGCTCTGCTGGGCCGACTACATTCGGATTGTCTTCCTTATAAGGCATGCCCCACCACTCTGTCCCAGGGCGAGCTGCTCTGGTACCACAGCTGGCTCTCTACCACTGATGTGCCAGTAATGGATATAGTGGAAAAATACCAAGTTCATCCTCTTTGGACTGCTTGGGTTAAAGCTTATATAGAAACCAAAATACACACTGACTCATACACAGAAAAAAAAATCTCCAAGTGACTCATTGTTCTGTTTTGCTTTTCCCTCCATGAGTGAAAACAGTGAAATGGTTGATCGGATCTGTGCTTCACTGTGATAATGCATACACAAGCGCGCACACACACACACACACACACACACACACACACACACACACACACACACACACACACACACACACACACACACACACACACAAAAATCCAGTTAGCTAAACATGAAAACACATCAAGGAGCATCATAGTAGTCCGGATCTTACCCTGCCTTGGTACCTCATCCTGTCCCGTTGTTGCTAGAAGAAGGCTGAACTGGTGGTTCCCCCCCCCCCAGGCTGGTGCTCCTCCTCCTGTGTCACTCCTCAACTGTAACTTCTCATCCACCTTTGCCTACAGGCGACAGAATTAGGTAACTTATCCTCTTCTCTCTCTCCCTCCACGTCACTTTCTCACTTTCTCTCAGCTTTAGTCTCTTCTCCACGTCCTTCCTCCTCCGCGTCTGGCTCCCCTGTGAGGACAAAGCATACGCACTCAGGCCAAAACACCAACAGTCTCTCCTTGTTTATACCTTCAATTCATCTTCCCTTTGACAGGTCAAGTAAATGTCCGCCTCTCGGTGAGTCCCTCTCCTTCCCTCTAAACTACAATGCATGAAACATGGGCAGGAACTCCTCTCACACGTCACACAACTGGATAAAAAAAAAAACTCAAGGGAAAATAAGCCAGAGAAATAGAGAGCTGAGAGAGTTTGGAAAAAATTGCTAAGAGCCCCAAACTACAAACATGTAATCACTGTGCAGCTATATAAAAAGTGAAGAAGAAAAAAAACTGAAATCACATGATGAGATCTCAGTACATTCTTTCTTTCCTACCCTCCCTGTTTAGTTTGCTCCCTCCCTTTTCTCCCACAAGCTGAGACAGATTCACATGGGATGTGAGTTATGGGGGTGTTTCACCAGCAAGATGGCCTGTCTCTGTGTGCTATCTTCCAATGTTGATGAAATAACTTACAAAATAATATAGCTCTGCAGGTAATAAAGCTTTAACACAATAATGCATGGGCCATCAGATTCCTCACTTCTTCCGTTCCCTCCCTTTTCTAGGCATTTTTGGGGAGTGCAGTCAAGGCCACATCGACCCTCTGAGAGAACAGCGCCCTCCTCAGGTTTCCCTCCCCGTATCTTTCCTCTCACCCCATTTTCCCTCACTCTGCCTCCACGCCTCACTCTTTTTCCTTTGCCAGCATCATCAAATATCCAACACTGAGGAATCTGAATAATGTTACCCAGATGGAGAAAGCCTCTCGCTCTTTTACTCAATCTCTGGCTGTCTCAATAGTTCTTAAAGCGAGGAGAAAAAAAATCTACATGCTGCTCCCTCCCTACCTACCTTGCATTTATGTAGTGTATATAACCAGTGGAGAGTGGACACTGCCACATTCATTAAACTATGCAAAAGATCTTGTTCCAACTGGTGTCACTTGAAAACTTTGATGCCCTGACTCTTTTACTATATATGGTGAGCAGGTCAATATGGGGAATTTAACTTTTTCAGCCAAATGCTTTCTCCCAACTTGTAGCCTCCAAGCCCCCTTAATTTACTCAGTTACCTCACTGCATCCCCCCTCAATTGTGTGTGCTCTATTCACACCAGAATCAACTAAAATGATCAGTCGCTGCAGGTCAATTTTGTATAGAGTGCAAAAATCAAAAGAAACTTGTACAATCAGATGAAAGTTGATCATTTAGTTGGCACAGAAAAGATGACTACAGCAGAATGGTAGGTATTGTTGTGTTCCCCTATCAAAGCCAAACAGTGCTCTATATTAATGTGATCTCCGTATGCTACAGGATGTGCTGCATTTTTGGTTTCAAATGCTTCTGAGGTGAACCTTTGAAATTGAATGCAAGCTGAACGCCTATTGTTCAGACATAGGTATTTTTGTTATATGAGTACAGTATGCAGTATAAACTAAAATTAGTTTATTAGAGTTCATGTTTAAAGGAGCACCATGCATCACTGCCAGGCTGCCAGGTGCTCCACTTCCAGGCCAGGTTTCAGGCTCAAGTCCTGGTTTCTCTCACCTAGAGGTCATACTGGCAATGCCTTTCGTCTGGACCTTCACTTTTGCAACAAAGACTTTCTCTGCAGCTGCCGCCTTCAACAACACAGCTCCCAGGGTCACATGGACAAAAAGCTTCTCTACCATTGCAAGGTGAAGATCACTGGGAGCTGCCATGATTTGTCCAGAAGACAGCTAGTGTCTAAAATGTATGTATGTCATTTTAAAATAAATAAATAATAAAACTAATATATTTTAAATACACTATGCATTTATTCCTCTGATAGTGGTTTAGAAAACATCAGTTTCGGTCCAAAGATTCACAGTCGGGCTTGTTTGGGTATTTCTTAAGTCCTATTTACTCTTTTGCAGTCATCAGAAAATCAACTTGAAATGTTCTGAGGTCAAAACCATGCACAGCCGTCTCAGACAGACCATAGCACAGATAGACTGCTGGCAGCATTTTTGACTTAACTTTGAAGGGCATCCAAGACATAGCATGTGTGACCACATGCATGTGGAAAACATGAGGGTATTCTGCTAAAACATCTGGCTTTTCTAGTCTGCACACACTACACATTAACCTTGTGCCAATGAAATCGAAAAGACACTAAAGAAAGAAACTACAGTACTACTGTAAAGTGCATCTTCACCACCTGAGCTCATGATGTATCCTCCTGTTATTTTCCAGTTGACTTTTTTCAGTAAGTGTTCCTATCTTTGTTTAGCAGTTCCTGTAAGAAGGATTTCCTTCCTAGCTGTTTCCTGATGTTCAGGGTATTCCTTCATGACCATTTGTTTTAGCTCAGTTCTGATGTGAACTACACCTTTCTGATTTTTTGTTGTATCTCCTGCATGTGTATGTCTACTTAAATGGTTTCCTTCCTCAAATACAGAGAAGTGTTTTGTGTAATTAACTGGAATGTAACACCTGCCAAAAGTGTAACTGCTGTTAAAATATGTATGCTAGGACTGAGTTGACTGACTTAAACCAACTTCCTCTCAGGAGTACACCCTCTTCCTACCCACCTCAACTCATACTGCATCAACTGCTGTCAAATGCAATACTAAAACAGCGAAAGATTGAAAAATAACCGATTTTGCAGATGTAACCTTCTGCCTGATTTCAATTTCACATAATTGCATTAAAACAAGACTAATTCTGAACATCTGACATATTATGGAAGAAATCCAAACAATCCTTGCATAGCCTGCCTGTCATAAACTGAGTACCCGTGTGTACAGTATTTGAGTGTGAAGTCTAGTAATCCTACTTTTTTCCTCATTTTGTATTTAAATTGCTAAGATTTTCCATTTCAATTTAACAATGAATCACAGAGGAATGATGACTTACTTGGGCGGGGTGGAAAATGGGTTGTTTCTCTTCTTTCTCTCTCTCTCTCTCTCTCTCTCTCTCCCTCTGTCACACACACACACGTACACACAGAAAATTCATGTGATATAATAAATGAGATAGTGGGTATCAGATATAATCTTTAGCACATATCTAACTCACCAAAGTCACACTAACCTTTACTACTTCTACAACTTATCTATTTCTCTTCCTTCTTTGCGTCCTGTGTTTGACCTGTTATGTTGCATTATTCATACTTCAGTGTAGAGCTATTATTAAGATAACTGAAGAATATATTTTAATATTGTCTGGGTGCACTAACCTAGCATTCCTGACTGTTATGTCCTTGGCTGAGACGCCATATTGCCCACCTATTGTCCATCTGCACTGATCTCCCTCAGCACCCATCTGCTGTCCCTTTCACCCCATTCTCACCTCCACTGCCTCTCATCCCCCAGATCTCTGTTACACTCCAACGGCTACTTTATAAATTGACCAAGGTGTAAAACAAAACCCCATACATCAACAAGCCGTGGAAAGACATTTGTATATGTATATGTATGAAATGTAGAAAGAAATAGAAAAGAAACACATATCTATTGGGTATGTCGTAATCTTAAGTCTGTTTTCTTTTGATAATAATATACACAGTCAATGTGAGGATGAGGAAGAGGTTTAATGTCTGTAACTTCCCTTGCACGATCACTGGGACAATAACAAGCATGAGCTTATGGCTAGATCATGATGTTCTGAATTATAGGAAGGCTTAGGGCTCTGCCTAGTGGTAGTAATATCAATTACACTGAACTGGCTCCTATTCTTGTGAAAGGGCTGGTTTGCCATTAAATTTGATTCCCAGATGAATCCTGATGAGTTTGATGACCACTTGACTTTTCATCTAGCACTACAAACAGACAAGCAAAAAAAGTCCATATTCTAACACTCACACAGTTTATAACAGGATCCTTCTGAAAACCAATGACAGATGTCCTATTTGCATCCAGAATTTCCCTTGTAATAGTGTTTTTTACACTGTGATGAATCCAATTTTATTTAAGCAATGGATCTCAATATTTTTTCCACCACCGTGGAGCCAAAGAGGTTTAATTAATTTAACTGGTATATTTTTATTTTTGTGATGCACAAGCATGACAATGTTCTTGTCATGCTTGTGCATCACAAAAATAAAAATAGACACACACAAAAATATATACATGCATATCTGTAATATACAGATGTGTGTAAGTATGTATGTATGTATGTATGTATATACTGTATACATACATACAGTCCATAGAAATATGCCTACCTGGTCTTACTTAATAATCAGAGTGTGTGGACAGCCTGACTGAAGTCGAACCGTTTCTCCCATATGCCTCTCCAGTAGCAGTTTCGGTTACTTGTTCAACTGAAGGTGAGTCTTGTAGACTACATAATCCATCGCCTGGCTCACTTTCTTTTCCCAGCCTAGACTAAATGAACTCCCTCTGGGAACCGCTGAATCCAGACGGATACAATTACAGCACAGCAAAGGTACTTTGTAGGAAAAAAGCTTGAAATTTTTATAGAAAGTAAAAACTGTGACCACATTAAGCCTTCATTGCAAAGGTGATAGAATATTTCTTGGAGTTTATAGCCTATAAAGCCGCTAGGAGGTGGCAACGCTAAAGTTAACAGTCTGCACAGAGTAATCAGATATGATGCTGATGACTGATGCCAGCCTCTGTTAAAGGTGGAGGAGCTGAATGGTAGTGAACATGTGCAGGTATATCCTTGTGAGTATACACAGTTGCCTCTACTACAGTTTGCTGTCTAGATGTTTTGGAATACAATTTCTATTGAAATAATATTCCTTTTTGCTTTGGACCTTTTGTAAAATCGAAAGGTCCTCCATGTGCATGCTGCAGTCCCACAGTCCTTGTTTTTCTGTTTAATTATTAGAGAGTTTACCAGGACTTGTGGTGGAATGTAACTAAATTTAGCTCAGTGCAGATTGTGAACTATTGGCTAAACCTGACAGATAATTGATCCCCTGTAGGGAAATTAAAATTTGGCACAGCAGCACAGGAGAATATAGTGTAAAGAGTAAAGATAGAATAAAATACAATAAAATATAATACAAATATAAAATATATACTCTATATACAATAAAGTGGAATATAATATGCCTGTGTATATCTGTACAACATGTGCAATGTTTGAAGCATTGTGCAAAAAAAGAGCTGTGCTCAACAGGTTAAGAGTTAGCAGTCTCAGGCAGCAGGGGTAGGTGGTACTAGTGTGCTGTGGCGTTCTAGAGTCGAATGGCTGATGGCACAAATGAGCCTCCCAAGCGGGGGCACGGGGCTGGATCAGTCTGTGGCTGAAAGTGCTCCTGAGCTGCCTCAGCTCAGCGTAGAGGATGAGAGGGGTTGTCCATGATGGCTTTCAGCGGCCCCTTCTTCCTCTTCTCAGTCGCTGCCTCCACACTGTCCAGCTCCATCCCCACTACCTTCTTCACCAACTTGCATAGTTTGTTGGCACCACAAGTCCAGATGCCTCCTCCCCAGCACACCACGGCAAAGACGATGACACTGGCCACTACAGACTGGTATAACATCCATAGTAGCCTATTGCACACGTTGAGGGGCCTCTTGCTGCGCCGTAGTCCATCTGTGATACAGCCGACAATGGAGGAGTCATCCGAGAACTTCTGTAGATAGCAACGTTCCAGAAGTTGATGCAAAAGTCAGAGGTGTAGAGGGTGAACAGAAACAGCGACAGTACAGTTCCTTGGGGTGTACCGGTGTTGCTCGTCACCACATAGTAGGTCTAACTCGAGCAGCTAGCTACAAGAGTAAAATGATGCATACATATTAACAATCTAATAATGTCTCATATAATAATGTATCAGTCACAGAGACTGATTGTCTGCAAAATTAGTACTTTTACTATTGATACCTCAAGTAACTTTAGCTGGTAATACTTTTGTACTTTTACTTCTGGATGTTGGACTTTTCCACCAATGATGTCACTGTTAACAATGTAAAAAAACAACGGTGTGCTAGCTAGCATAAAAAAGTTATTGTCATTAACATTCCTCTTGGTGTAGAGTAACATTAGTTTAAGATAAAATCATACACTAGCTGACTAATAACGCCATACACATAATAACTACAAGTCACATAAACATCTTTACTTAAAGATCCCCTCCAGACGACATATATACAAATAGTCTTCTCGGAATAATAACGAGGATCTGAAATGTTTATATGTGTTTTTTTTCCATATTAAAACCCCTACTCCATCTACCTTATTAAAAAATCCTGCTGGACACAAGATGTCTCCTAAAGTTCATTCTCAGTTTTTCTACATCACACTAGTATATTTATGACGTCACAAGTCATGCTTTTAGGCTCCGCCCCTTAAAATCAGACTTTCTATGAGCACAGATAAACTTTCTACTTTCTGCAGAAGAATGTGAAAACATCTTCCTAGTGTCAAACTCTGCACATACATCTTTCTGCACAGTGCAGCTCAAACATTCAGCCGTAGGAACAAGAATACAAATATATTTTTGAGCGGAGGGGGACTTTAAAGTTGGTTCAACTCAAAAACAGTATTTTTAATCCCAGACACCTCCACTTTATCTGGGTGTAACGTTTAAAATACAGTTAATATAGTTTGAGTCCTAATGTTGTACCAAGATGCTGACAGACAGACAGGCAGACAGACATGTGTTGGTCTATTCACAGCACGCGCAGTAACGTTACATGGACGTTCCATCAAAGGTCGCGAGACAGGAGGCAACCGCTTTCTGTTGTAATCCGGTGTAACGCAGTGTAACAAATGGTTGCTATGGGGCGAGAAAACACCGTGGTAATACCTTTGAAATGTGTCCTGAATGGCGAGAAATCGATTACTTGTGAGTAACGAGCCCCGCATATGCAGTATAGTGGAGAGCGAGCGGCAGAGGACCGACCTGCTGCAGTTGTGTGAGGGCGCCGCTGGGTGAGTCCCTCTCTCCGCTGCTTCTGTCTCCACAGCTCCCTTTTCCTAAAGAAAAGAAGAGGAGAACTAGGTCCGGGGAGGAGGGCCGCCGCCATTATCGGAAAAGCTGGCAGAAATACCACTTTCACACACGCAATCTGCTCGCAAATTGATCCGGACACATGAACAATTTCTGTTGCAGTAGAAGCAATATTCAGACGAATCACCACGGCGATTGCAACAAACTCACCGTTGTCTCGTGTGCGCGACCGGCCCAGCGTTATGTGGGCACAACAATGGACAGAATAATTATTGCAAAAGCAACGTGGTGAAGCGAGAAGAAGACGGCTAAGCAGATTTGTACACGCCTAAATTTCTCATGAGGAAAAACCCCCTTTTTTTTGGCAAGAACAAAATTGGATTGTTCTATCAATTCGGGATATTTATTTCTTCCACCCTCCCCCCCCACCCCCCCTTCCCACCACCACCCGTGTTTAATTGCAGCGAAAACAGTGATGCTAAACAAGAGAATCCAGGCATGGGCATTGGATATGTAAATCAAATTACCCCAATCGCACAAGTTGTAGTATTACCAGTATTATCTGTGAACTGAGGCGACACACGGCGTGTTCTGCGGCTTTATGCTTATGCACATCAGGCGGCGAGGGCTGCGGCAAGCGCTGGCCTGACAGATGCAAGAGGAGAAAGGGAGAAATGCGATGGTATGTACCTTTCATGCTCTCGCCTCGTCTTTACGGGCTATTTCCTTGTGAAGCTGTCGAACGCTACGCCCTAGACAGCTGGGTAAATAAATTCCCTTTAAACGTTGTCCGTCCGTATGGAGAGAAGGTAGGCTATCACCAGATTTCATTATGTAGACAGCAGGCCTGGCGTGGTCAGCCCCTCTCTGTGCACCCTAAAGCCCATGTTAACTGTTAATCCTTTGCAAAAAAAAAAAAAAAAAAAACATGTAACGTTACAAAATTTTATCCTAGTAAGTCGGTTATGTAAATGAAATTGTTTGAAGATGCGATTCGGTTAACTGTGTTTTGATGCTGTTGAAGATGGGGCATTTTTGGTAGTTTTTATTTGTAAAGAACTTGTCTGTTCATTTGGGTATCAGGCCTAGCTCAGCTGAGCGGTGTGGACTGACCATGGTTGCTTTTGACCCTGCCGGGGCTGTTTGTTTCTAATGTGTGGTCACTTCATGTGACAGGTTAGTCATTTCAATTACAATCCCATAATTTCTTCTCTTTTGTCATAATGTTTGACACCATTGGATTATCCTACACATGAGTGAAATTCTGCAGTTGGTCTTTTATTTGTATTTTCTTTCATCGAAATGATGAGTTATATCAGAATTGCACCAGTGCTATGATAATGGAGGCATTAATCAATGCTGTAATAATGGAAGAATTAACATTAAGTTCAGTGTCCTTTTGGCACAGATTGTACAATGTGTTTGACTCGCTGTTAATGAGTCCTTCATTCATTCCCTGTTTTTATCTTTAGAGATCAGGCTGTTTCATTTAAGTTTAAAAAAAAAAAAAAACTGAGGTGCCCACTCATCATTTTCACCCCACTCACTGATCAGCTGACAGGATCGTTTAAAGAGCACCACTCCCAGTATGTCTCATAGGATTAATGTCATCATTTTGATACTGGGTTGGTATTATAGGAATTTATCTTCAGATGAGTGGGCCGGAGCTGAGAGTTAGTTGATTAATCAATTAGATGATCAATGTTAGATTAATTGGCAACAGTTTTGATAATCAATTTAATATCTAAAGTTGTCTAATAAAATGCCAGAAACTGGTTCAGCTTCTCATATGTGAATATTTGCTGGTTTTCTTAGTTTTTCTATGCTAGTGAATAGAATAATAATTCATTTTGGACTGTTGGTCAGACAGAACAAGCTATTTGAAGATGTCACTTGGGCTCAGAGATACTGTGATAACCTTTCTGAAAAAAAGTATTTGAGAAAATAATTAGCACATTAATTCAACAATGAGAATAACGGTTCCAGCCCTAGAATGGACAAAATCTGCCTGGAAATTTAACGAAATTTGCAAAAACCTGTGTGCTTTTTCGTTTGAATTTGTGTTTATTTTAGTTTGTCCATTACCTGTATAACTAATATCTATGGCTCCTGTAACAATGTATTCACATTATGCTTTTGCTGCTGACTGGACATGATGCCAAAAACTACAACAGTGTTTTGATAACAACTCAGTGTGAACAGTAATAATATTAATGCAGTGATTTCACACATTACTTGCATATTAATTGCTTTTGACAAATGATCCGATTGTATCCATGATCAAGGCCATAAACATTGATAGTACTTGGAGCCTAATAACCAATTGAACTCATTATTAGAGATCTCATAGTTACTAAGAAGGATAGACATATAAAAATACCATATCCAAATTTACAGACATTTGCAAAGGCAATGTTGAACATGTTAGCTAAATACTGCCAGTAACCCCAAAACAAAAAGTCAATTTCTACAGCATAAATAGCATGTTTTAACAATATATATTTTTTAAAAATGTCCTGTGTTTAATAGTCTGACATTTACCCACTTTTTTTTTGATTGCCCAGTTTGTCTGATTTCTTTGTTTTTTGTTTCTTTTGACAGGATCTGATTCATATAAGGAATGAATGAAAGAACGCTCTGCTCATATCACTGCACTGCTATTTATTAAAATCCAGCAGAAGAACGTGAAATCTGATCTCCACTGTGGATCAGCAACTTTATGGACAGACATTCAAGTGAACTCCTTTATACAGTGCCTGTTTATGGCAGGATGAGCACCAGCAGACTATGATGGCGAAAAAACAAGATGCCCGATCACCCATTTACAACCTCATTGTGGTGGGTTTGTCAGGAACAGAGAAAGAGAAAGGGCAATGTGGGGTTGGCAAGTCCTGCTTGTGTAATAGGTTTGTGCGGCCTAGTGCTGATGACTTCTACCTGGACCACACATCAGTGTTGAGTACAAGTGACTTCGGGGGTCGAGTGGTTAATAATGATCACTTTCTGTTTTGGGGGGAGGTGTCGCGGGTTCTGGAGGAGGGGCCTGAGTGCAGGATGCATGTTGTGGAGCAAACTGAATTCATCGATGACCAGACGTTTCAGCCACACCGTAGCACTGCTATGCAGCCCTATATCAAACGGGCAGCCACAACCAAGTTGGCTTCAGCAGAGAAGCTCATGTACTTCTGCACAGATCAGCTTGGCCTGGAGCAAGACTTTGAGCAAAAACAAATGCCTGAGGGAAAGCTGCAGGTTGATGGCTTCCTGCTTTGCGTTGATGTCAGCCGGGGCATGAACCGCAACTTTGATGACCAGCTGAAATTTGTCACAAACCTTTACAGTCACCTTAGCAAGACTAAAAAGCCAATTGTGCTGGTCCTAACCAAATGTGATGAAGGAGTTGAACGCTACATCAAAGATGCTCATACCTTTGCTATCACAAAAAAGAGTCTGCCAGTAGTTGAGACGTCTGCACGCTCAAATATAAATGTAGACCTTGCCTTCCTCACTTTGGTTCAACTTATTGATAAGAGCAGGGGCAAGCCTAAGATCATTCCCTATTTTGAAGCCCTAAAGCTCCAGAGTCAGCAGATAGCTTCTGCCAAGGATCGCTATGAATGGCTAATCAACCGTATAGTAAAGAATCATAATGAAACCTGGTTAAATACCAGTCGACGCATGAACACCTCCCCAGAATACAAAGAATATGTCTTCTTGGAGGGAACAGCTAAATGCAAGAAACTTTTTCAACAGCATGTCTACCGTCTGAAGCAGGAACACATTGAGAGGCGTCGCAAAATATACTTAAGCACTCTTCCTTTAGCACTTAGTTCTTTGGTGCCTGACCTGGATGAGATAGATCAGCTGAGCTGGTCTGGGGTACAGAAGGTCCTCGAGTCCAAGCAGCACTTTGCCCACTGGTTTGTTGTTCTAGAGGACTCACCATGGGAGGATACATCTCACATTGATAACATGGAAGATGAACGAATCCCTTCAGACCTACTGGAGACTGCTGAAGCAGAGGAACTATTTAATGCCCACCTGGAACATCTGCGTAATGAGTGCAGACGGGCAGAGATGAGGCTGGAGTTTAAACAGAAGTTGGCTTCCTCTCCCTTTGTCACACCTGGTAAACCCTGGGAGGAGGCCCGCAGCTTTATCATGAATGAAGAGTTCTACCAGTGGCTTGAGGAGCCAGAGTACTTGGACCTGTACAACCGCCATCAGAAGGAGATCATTGACCGTGCTAAAGAAGACTTCCAGGAGCTCCTGCTGGAGTACTCTGAGCTTTTTTATGAGCTTGAGGTGGATGCCAAGCCAAGCAAGGAGAAGATGGGGGCAATTCAGGAGGTTTTGGGGGAGGAACAGAGGTTCAAGGCGCTACAAAAGCTTCCAGCTGAAAGAGATGCTCTGGTATTGAAGCATATCCACTTTGTCTATCACCCAACCAAGGAGACCTGCCCAAGCAGTCCTCACTGCGGAGACTCTAAGATTGAACAAATCTTAGTTTCACGGTTCCCTACGTGTTACCCCTTTTTTGATGTGAAAGCTCATTTTGGGGACACCAAGGCTGATAGAATTAACCTTGTCATACTAGGGAAGGATGGACTGGCCAGAGAATTTGCCAATGAGATTAGGGCTCTCTGCACAAATGATGACTGGTATGTGTTGGACGGGAAGATGTATGAACTGACACTGCGGCCTATTGAGGGAAATGTACGTCTTCCAGTAAATTCCTTCCATACCCCCACTTTCACCCCTCATGGATGTTTGTGTCTGTATAATTCAAAAGAGTCCCTCTCCTATGTGGTTGAAAGCCTTGAGCGACTTAGGGAATCAACTCTAGGTCGAAGGGACAGTCAGCTAGCACAGCTGCCAACATCACTGCTTTTAGTCACTAAAAGAGGCGTAGGATCATACGTGGATATAGGTGGAGAAACTGCCTTAAACCTAATAACACAGGGACAGCAGGTTGCAAGGAGACTGCAGTGTAGCTTTTTAGATCCTGCCTCCCCTGGTGTGGGCTATGGCCATAACGTCAATGAGACTCAAATCAACCAGGTGCTGAGGGGCCTTCTGGATATTAGAAGGAGCACATCCTTTAGTAGCAGCTCCCCACCCCTCCTCCCTGAGCCTCCGGGTCTCCGAGACTCTCCCCATCAGCCGGCCCCAGAGGCAGACCTTCGCATTGTCATGTGCTTAATGTGTGGAGACTCCTATGACATTGAGCAGCTCCTGTCCCCTTTCCTAATGCATCAGCACTGCAGGCCCATGTCTAATTGTGGCACCTCTGTATTGCTGGAGCAGACAGTTGGTGGACACAAACTGGCTATAGAGCTCTCTCTGCTCTCATACCACGCCTCCTTCACTTTGCGGAAGAGCAGGTTAGTACACGGCTACATTGCTGTGTACTCGGTCTCCCGAAAAGCCTCCCTGGAGACCCTGTGTGCCTTCTTGTGTGAGGTTCAGGACATCATCCCAGTTCAACTGTTGGCTGTTGGAGATAGCCAGGCAGAGCTCACTGACAGTGACTATGCCTGTGAACAGCTGATCCAGGGGGAGGAGCTAGCCCATGAGATTGAGGGTCGTTTCAATAGTGTGGTTTGTGGGTCCGGGGGCGTGGTGGGAGGTCTGCACAGGATAGAAATGTTCCATTCTTTTCTGATGGAGGTGGTAGAGAAACGCAACATTGTGGAGGCCACACATATGTACGATAATGTTGCTGAGGCATGCACGAATGAAAATGTGTACTCCCCACGTTGCAGTTCCCCCAGTCCTGTCACCATGTTCCTGGATTCAGAGGATGACGTAGAGCCATCACCACCATACTATGATGGCACACTCACTTCTCATAGTGGGGGCTACAACCTGCCCGACTTAGATTCGAGTGACATCTCTGTCATCTCTGATATCAGAGACTTTGAGAACAAACTCAACAACAAAGTACCTCCCCAAGTGAGAGTTAAACCAGGTGTCACTTTTGACTTCCGGAAGGTGAGCCGTAATCCATTTATCGATACACTAGGTCATCGTCGCTCCTTACCTTCTGCTGTGACCTGGGTTCCTGGTGGGGATGTGGGCTACGACCCCTCAGACTACGCCGAACCCATTGATGCTGTTTCAAAACCCCGCCCTAGCAATGAAGAGATCATTTACTCAGTGCCACATGACAGCACACAAGGCAAAATCATCACCATCCGCAACTCCAACAGGATGCACTCCAATGGAAATGGCTCAGACAGTGAAGCAGACAGCAGCTCTCTGGAGCGAAGGAGGAAGTTCTCAGCAGCTGGGGTGAAGCCTCGTCTTTACCGTGACCGGTCCAAGCGGCTTGGCAAGTTCAGCAGCTTTCGCACGAGCTTCATTGGCAGCGATGACGAGATGGGAGCCCTTCTGAAGTCCAAGGAAGATGACTTTGGGACCCTGAAAGGCGAAAGCCTTGTTAATGAGGAGAGTGAGGACCCAAAAAAGAGGAACATTCTGAAGAGCCTACGACGAACCGCCAAGGTGTGTATTATACAACCTGTTTTAATCCAGAAAGAGAAATACCTTTTTTATTTACTTGTCCATAATCTCATACAGTAATTGTTAATTAATTTGTTTTTAAAGTTTTCTTAGATATTGCCCTTATGAAAACTACACTACAGTCATTGCTATAGGTATAATAGTGCTATCACACACACTATAAGGTCAGTGTTGAGTGAGCATGTTTAAACTGTGGTAATGTCTTGGGAAGGATCTTGACACTAAGCTTGTCACTGAGTGTTGATTTGCTGCTGATGGCGAGCAGCACATTTTCTTAGAATCCAATGAGTGCCACAGTATCAACATAATTATCCCTGATTGTGACACTCGGGGTCCTCCATCTTTCTTTCTTCACAGAAAACGAGACCAAAGCCCCGTCCAGCTATTCCCAAGCCCCCAGAGAGCAGTTACTTTGGGGTGCCCTTAGTGAATGTGGTATCCCCAGACAGACCTATCCCACTCTTCATCGAGAAGTGTGTCCGCTTCATTGACACAACAGGTAAGTTTTTTGTCTTTTAACCTCTTTTGAACTAAAATGTGCTGCTGTGCATGTGGTGTATGCAAAATCTGATTACAAATTTTATTCTGAGAATTACTGACAATTGTCTTATATGATCTTATATTGTAAATATGAATATGTTCATGACCGCAATATGATATGAAAATGAATACAAGGGTTTATTCAGTTACGCACTCCTTTTAGAAACTGCCAGCATCTGTATTGTCATGTCTGTCTGCATCGGGGCTAATGAAGTGTTTGTGCTTTGCTTGTTTCCCACTGTGCCCCCCGACGTCTTCCTCCTTCTCTCTGCTGCTTTCTTTTTCCTCAGGCCTGAATACAGAGGGTTTGTACCGCGTTAGTGGCAACAAGTCAGAGATGGAAAGCATGCAGAGGCAGTTTGAACAGGGTGAGTTGCTCATCAGACTTGTTTGAACCAGCTGTTTGACATGTAATTATGTGGCTATCTAATCAAAACATAAACAGAGTTACTAAAGGAAAGTGACATGCAGTTGATTGTTTGGTCCTGATGACAGCTACTACTGACAGGTTTATTTCATCTGATCTCTTTAACTCTCTCATTCTCCTTGTGCAGACCACGGATTAGACCTAGTGGAGAAAGACTTCTCCATAAACACTGTGGCTGGAGCCCTCAAAAGCTTCTTCTCTGAGCTGCCTGAGCCCCTGGTGCCTTGTGCTCTGCAGGTGGACCTATTGGATGCTTTCAGTAAGCAAACACTGCTGGGCTGGGAGGGTCTTTACTAGAACATAAAAAGATTATTTCTTTAGGAGGGCCTAGGGTAGGGAAGGTTTTGGAAGACCTGTTTGGCTCTGTTTTAGGAGGTTTTGTGTTGACAAGAATCATTTTCATGGTAGTATAGAGAGACACTTTTTGGTCTCAATGGTGAGCTCTCAGTTTTAATGGTAACTCTCTCTGTGTGTGCAGAAATCAATGACCGAGAACAGAGGCTGTATACCATGAAGGATGTCCTGAGGAAGTTCCCCAGGGAGAATTACGATGTCTTCAAATATGTACTGAGCCACTTACACAAGTAAGTCCCCTGTCTGTCGTTTAAAAATCTCTTTCATGCGTATGTTGGTCTTCTGTGGTAGACACCCATGTGTTTTTTTTTCTGCACTGTATGAATAAATTGGTGTCTATTTGTGTGTTTTCCCCCAGAGTGAGCCAGTTGCACAGGTTGAACTTGATGACCAGTGAAAACTTGTCCATCTGTTTCTGGCCCACACTCATGAGGCCGGACTTCACCACAATGGATGCCCTGACTGCCACACGCACCTACCAGACAATCATCGAGACCTTCATCCACCAGTGTGCATTCTTCTTTTACAACCAGCCCCTCCTCGACTCCCCCACTGGCCTAGCAGGCCTCCCTGCCTCACCTACCACCACCCTCAGTGGGAGCTCTGCCTACTCTTGTTACCGCTCCTCTCCTCCGCACACCACCACACACTTCAGCCCCCTGCAGCAATCCCCGCCCACCACCCCCCAGTCTCCCCTGCAGTCTCTGCTCCCTCCCCTCCACCAGCACCCCCACTCCCACCATTCCCCTGCTGAACAAGAGACACTGTGAGAGACAGTGAAACCGCGTGTGCCCATGATGATGCTGGACCTTATCACCAACACTAACAAAAAAAAAAAAAAAAACGTGCACTTGCACACTACATTTTTGATCATGGACAGCATAGGTTATGAAGAGAGGAGATGGGAAGTGTCTGAGAAACTTCCCTAACCTGCCATTTGTATCCATATTTGTGTGCATCAGGGCAGGCTTTCATTATCAGTGACTCTTCCTCTGCCCTTTGAATCCCTGAACGCCTGGAATTTGACATCAGGTCGGAAGTGGAGGACAGATGTTGCTGTCACAGCAAGCCTTTCTTCTTGTCAACAGCCACCAGTTATCCTACACTACCAAGAAATAGAAACCTCTATGCCAAGCTGGAAGAATTTTGATTTGTGGCCACCATGTTTTTATCTGAGTAAAACTGTTTTATTTTTTGTTTTTCTCATGAAAGTACTGCCACTGGATTTTTAGACTGTTCCTCTGTAGGTCCTTTGGGCAGCAGTTTGCTCCGTATATCAGAGGTTCCTCTGTCTGCCTTTCTCTCATCGGCTCTACTTGAGGGGTCAGCATGGGGAGGGAAGGGAAGGGAAGGGAAGGGAAGGGAAAGGGAGGGGAAAGGGAGGGGGGGTCACATCCAGGGATGCACTTTAATGATCACTGTTGTTTTTCCCTCAGAAGGGTTTTTTTGTTTGTTTTTTGTTGACATACTGTTTTCTTGAGTGTTTTTAATTTCACAGCTCAAACAGCCATACCCATTGCCTCTACAGAGCTCTGGCAGATCAAACTTTGTTTACATCAAACTTGTTTTTGTATCCACAAACTTATCTGAAGCACTTTTTGATAGTGTAGTGTTAAAATTAGAAGGAATGCCACATTGATTAATTGTTCATACGTATTGTTTGTTTAGTGGTTGAGTGTGGCATCAGTGCAGGCTTGTGAAACAAGATCTTTTTGTAAAAACTTAAGTTGTTTAAGTTGATCCAGAGTTCCCATTTTAGGTTGATGGGAAATCTGAATCGAGTCATATTCCTCATTCATCCAGCCATGTGAAAAATAGTTTTAGCGTTTGTCCTCTTTCTAGCTGTTGGTTGATCAGAGTGGATGTTTAGGGGAATTTGGATTAATTAGACCAATATAATATCAGAGAGGACTTTGCCTGCCATCAGTCAAGTGAAGGAGACATTTTTTTTTTTTCCATTTTTGAATGTGTAACCTAGTCATACCATAACATAACTCTACATTACCACCTGGTGACCATGGAAACCAAACGCTTGAAACACGATAGGTTGCTGGATGTGTTTCTGTGGCTGTCTATCAAACCAAGCTCTTTGTATTCATCTAATATTAAGGACCTTTAACTCTGAAGGTTTTGTATTCTCAATGCACTGTTACTGCTAGTCCTGCTTTACAATACAATGACCAGTAGAAGTTACATGTTTGTGGAATGGACACATTCAGGAATCACCACCGGCCGTTTACCTGCTCTAGTGAATTAGTTTTGTGCTGGCATATTGTCCTCGATTTTCATGGAAAACAAGCAGCACATTTTCAGTGGTAGCACTGTTAATGAAGACTTGATGATTTTAACCATAAGCACTGTCTTTTCAATGGGGACAAGTAAAAGTGGACCACCAGACATATAGGCTCTGGATGATTGTGGCTCTGTTATGGTTTTTGGTTGCAGCAATGACCAGACTAGTTGGTTGTAGTAGTAATTGGGATCATCACTTACTGGTACTTTTTGGAATCGCAATGCTGTTGGAAGTCAGTCATTTTATGACTTATTCATTGGACTAAACTGAGGGCTCTTCTCAAACTGCTCAGAGCTTTAAGCTGTAATATGAAGACTGGCACAGAACCAACCAAGCAACTGTCCCACTATAACATGATTCCTGGGAGTATATAATCTTACTGCATCACTTAACTTCTGACACAACCTTGGCAAACCTGCCGTTCAATGAGCAAAAAGTGAGTGCATACTACTCTATAATGGTTGTTTATTTGTATGTTGGGGAACACCACCCTTTAGTCAATGGTAGAAAACATTTCTAGTGTGTATTTCAATGATTGAAAGTCCATTTTTACAATTTTTGTGAATGGTTCAAGGCCACTTAAGTTTAGTGCATGATTTAAAAAAAACACCAGGGGAGAAGGATGAAAGCCTCTTCCTGTTTTAAAACATGAAATTAGTACAAGAACAACACAAATACTGAAGTGAAATAGCTGAAACGTGAAAGTTTATGTACTGTGCACCAAGAGCAAACCATGGAATTTGTCTGACTGAGAAAAGTGTTTGAAGATGAAGGCCTTATGTGAACTGTATAATAGTTAATAAATTAAATCTTGTAAAATTGTCCTCAGCTTTCTTGTGGTGCATGTGTGTGTCTTTTCATTGAGACGTTTTGACAATTTGAAAGGTACCTCCATCCATTAACGTCACAGTTTGTGAACCTCAAGTTTGAAATGAGATTGGAACTTCATTGTTAAAAATGCATTTTCTGATTGTAATTTACGAAATTGCACAATAGCAGCTAGATTAATACTGTCACAACAATGGGGTCCAGGGAATCAAGAATAAGAAGCATATAATTTAGCTGGTTACAATTTTCAGTATTATGTGAAAATCAAGAAGGGCCACGATGCATTTTTTTGCACCCTGCTGTCATCTGACAAAATACTAGGCAGGGTATTATTATCCACAGTTTTCATTGTGTAATTGTGCATTGTGGTTTAAATTATTTTCCTGATTGACAGCTTGGTCAACAAACTACTACAAGACATGAATTTGCTGCTCTCTCCAAAGATAATCAGCACCCAAGCTAAATCTGTATGAAGCACACTTTATAACTCCGCTGTCCATGAAGCCTTATAATAAATTATCCTTATAATAAACAGGCTTAATTCTACACAACACATTACATGAAATATCTCTGCTGTAGTAACTAGAAGCTGTAGTATTTAGGCACGAGTGCAGGTGACTCTGAAAAAATATCAATTATTCACAGCATATCCGTCATGAGTGACTGCACTCTTTTGGTACAATACTTTCGTCACAGTATCTGTTAACCTATGTGCAGGGGTCGGACATTATGAAGCTCTGACGCCATCTTGTGGCTGCATAGCTGTAGAGCTAAGAAGAAGAGGGCGGCTTTGTGTGTGAATTATTATGTGCCGTTTGATTCATAAGTGACATGCCTCTATAAGTTCCTTATTGTCCATTCCTCATATTTCAGATACAACTCTGGGCATATTAAGTTTATTATTAGGGTAATTATATTATCTTATTTACTGCGCTTTGTTCAGATGCATGACTGAGGTCAAAGATATCTGTTGCCATAAATCTTAAACAACTTACACCGCAGGTATGGTTCTGAGTGAAGTATGATAAGCGACTACAGTGTCTCTTCCAGTCTCCATCCTCACCACCAACTCAAAGTCTAACACATTATCAAGGTGGTCTAGGTACTTATCTACTCGATGCTGCTCACTACGTATATGTTCATATGTTGACACGTGCTGTGCTATGTTTCAAATCCAGACATTTTCTGCATATTTTCCCACATGAACTAGCACATTTGACTAATTCCTTGCATCACCCACTTCCATGTTTTTATAGCAATACAAATTCAAATGTGTCTTTTGAACTTGTAAATACGGTAATTCAGATTAATATGGTTTTTGGCATTAGTTTATATAACTTACACGAGTATTTAATGTTGATTAACTACAGTATTATTACTCTGTATATACAAATGATAACTCTCCAGCCTGAAATTATAAATGCTGTAGATTGTGAGAAAGATAGCATTGAGTGCAGGCTGAGAAGATATCAAACGTGGGATGCTTCCTAAACATATTCAACACATTTGACTCAATGGGGCGTATGACTGAGTTTGAGTGTAATTGTAGCCGATGAGCCCTTTCACTGATATTGGCACCAAGCACGCACAATAACAAGACAGTATATTGTCTCATACTGACTTCAATATGCTATCCTGTAAGTTACATGGTGCTTATTATTATTATTTGACAGTTGTAGTGTGTATAAACTGATTATTCTCTGTAGTAGACCACACACACACACACCCAACCTTATAACCTGCCAATAAACAGGTAAAGGGAAGTTGTGCATCCTGCGTGTTTGATCAACACACCATGGGGATGGCTATTACACCTGAACCACTTTCTCACTTACACTTACACTATCAACATAAACCTGAACCTCCCAACATACTGTATGCTAATAAACAACAGTATGTTTGGTGGTTTGGTTGCCCAAACCTAAAAAAGGAACTACCTGTATGTAGTTTATCCACCAGTATAGGTAAGTAGTATGTGGTCATTTTGAAATAAACAGCAGATTTTTAAAATGCTAAAATGCTCTATTACCTCTAGCTTTGTTGCTCAGTCATAGCCCTGTTTCATGGGAGACATTTAGACTTGTCAATGCAGTTAATATCATTAATGATGGCTGCATTCCATTCAGTTGAGCTGGTCTCTATAGTATACAGATTTGAAACCTAATGGAATGGAGCCATTGTTAATATTATTAGTTACACTTGTGCTTTTATTGCAAAAAGTGCATCTTGTTCCCTTGTACATGTATGTATGGGTGCATATATGTACCAAATTACACTGTAAATTGTGAAAATGAGAGGTATGTTGCTGGTTATAATCTAAAGCTGTCACTTTCATCTTTACACATTACATACAGTAAATACACACTATTTTGTACCTACAGCTTGTCTGTTGAGATATTTACTGTACTCTACTTTTAAAGGGTACTATCCTGCATGTGAAAACTAATCCTGGTTATTTTAGTTTTGGATAGAGATACATTTATAACAAAAAGCCTGCAGAGCTTTAAAGAGATGGCAGTTTACCAGGCAGGGAGGGTCTAATGAAAGACACCATCAAGTTGTATTATGGGAGCATCGACACAAAATACAAAAATGTTTATATTTTAATACTCTATTTTTAGATTTAGTGTGCTGTTAATTCAATATGAATGTGTCAGTTCAAACATTTTCAGATGATATGCAAACAAACCTGTTGAGAATGACAGAAGCCATGACGTATGAAAGATAGCTTTATTGCACAAGGTGTTAGAATGATCTTTTTAGTTTTTGCTTTCTTTTCATAGAAAATGTACTTTTGAACACAAGCAATTGCTATAACAAGCAACTCAAACAAATGTTTGGGATACCCTCAACATTTTTTTTGTTTGTTTTTGATTTTCATACATTTTTTCCTTCAATTTTTCCCTTTTAGCAAGCATGCAATGATTTTTTTAGGATGAACAAAATACAAAATAATGATAATAAAAAAGTAAATAGGACAAATGACAACATCAAAAGACCTTTAAAAAAGAATAAAAATTCAACAAATTAGTATCAAAAACATAAAGGGAAAGAAAATGTTTTTTGCCCATTTCAGAAGTAAAATATTTTATTTTTGATACTATTTCAATTTTGAAATTGGGGCATTCAACCCTGATGTGTCCCCTGATTTATTCTGACGAAAATAGCTCTTCATACAAAACTGTGTTTATGTACAAGACTTAATCTATAAACAACACTGACAAAGGTAGCGATGATGGATCTAGTATGTTTAGGGCGGTGAATTTTTACTTTAATTTATCTGAACGGGGGAAAAGGACGGGAGTCTGAATGCTTCCGGTTTACAGACCCACTCCAGTCCAGTATATACACAACAGTAGTTTGTGTGACCAAAAGAGCTACAAGTCCCTGATTTCACTTGGCTGAACTGGTTTTAGCCACAGGCCACATACCTTAGTACTGTTTGGCCCCTAGAACCAAAATTTAACAAAAAAAACCCAGACAAATCAAAATGAATATTAAAAATCAAAATCAACCGACTAACAGATACACCCTCCCTTAAACAAACAAACAAACAAACAAAGCAAATGGATAAATAAATTTAAACCACAAAAAACTATCATGGAGATGCTTCAAAAAAAAGACATTCCAATAGGTTCTTGTGTGAATGTACATTAGAGCAAAATGGAGGGGTATGGAGATAAAGAAAGTGGGACATATACAGTACTTCAGACAGGGCAACAACAAAGATATCAATTGAGTGAACATTATATAATTTTCAAAACTGAACTCCCTGACATATAACATCGCTCAACATTATATTATTTTACTTCATTCACATCATGACTGGGATTCTTTCAGCTAGTTATTCATTTCATTGAAGACTGGCTGAGTGGCTGGCTGGGAAGTTGGTAAGAGGTGTATCTGTGGCAGAAGCCTTAATTCTGTATCATAACTTCAAGTCTGTAATCCAACATAAAACGCTGATTGGGTTTCTGAGTGTTATTGTATTTACCAACCACTCAGGCTCACGACAAGCTTTCGTAGAGTCAAAGAGCCTACATCCTCATGAGCAGACTTAAACAATATCACAGAAGGCTTTCTGCCATGACTGCTTCCACCAAACACATACTCGACAAAGTAGGCGGAGGTTATTAGCTGTTCACCCAGCCAGTCTACCTGTTCAGGACCTGAAACTAAAACTATGTAGCCTATCTTGCTTTTCCCATCTCAACATGGGGCTTGGAAAGGGCCACTCTCTGTCCATACAGGAGCGAAACACTGCTCTTAGTCGGTCTACATACAGAAACATACAGAACATCCCGTATATATACTAAACTTTTTCTTTCTTTAGTCCAACCTTTTTTAAATTGCTCTTTTCTAAATTTCATGATTGAGCGATTGTCTCATTCTTAAATTTGACATTAACATTAAATTGCTGTATATACTACTACACTATTGTAGTACATACAATTTATACTTTGTCATAATTTCACTTAAATGTCAATAATATACCTACATAGAAATATATATGTAAATTCTTTATAATACCAAATATTCTCTATTTGTAATGTGAGAAATTATAGCTGGTTCATTTGGGTTGTCATGATTTGATCAAAAAGTTAGACACTGTTCAGCTGGAGAGAGATGTGTGGAGAATATTCATGTGATATAATTTTTATCCTTGGAAGTGAACCTGAATCATTTCTTTTGGAATCACCATTAAGAGAAAATCTGCCAATAGCTATTTGGGGCTTTAAGAGACACATATAGGGTGAAAGATACAGTAAGAATAGGGGAACTTAACTGGTAGTCCTGCAAATTGACAATAATACTCAAATCATGGAGGACAGTATGTGTGTGCGCATGAGAGACAGGATGGCCACACAGCTTCATACTGGCTATCGTAGTCTTCATCATCATAAACACAGAGCTTTTAGCTCCTCAATTATAGTCAATATTTCCAAATGACCACAGAATCGCTTCCTGTTTTTTTGCTGTGCAAGTCCCGTGAGAACTGAGCGGAGCTGAGCACCAGCCGGCTGGAACTGTTAGTTGGTGTTAGTAATTCTTTTATAGAGTCCCAGGTGAACATGAGAAGTAGGGTTAGCTGGGTCTCTGTCTGGGAGAACACCTATCCCGAGGAATATAAGACAGAACGCTGGGCAGTTCACCATTAGTTGGGTTTAAAGAAAGATGGTTGCATGCCCTTTCTGGCCCAGACTGAAGAGTACCAGAGTGGGGCTGGCTGAGGAGTGGGACAGCAATGCAAGTCTGTGCAAGAGAATGGACTACACCAGTGTGTACGACTTGGAGTAGGCCCCCACACTCTGTTTCTGCAGTCTCCCGAGTGCAGAGGAGCTGCTCTCAAGCAGCGAGTCTCTGGAGCCCCCCACCTTGTTACTGTTGGTGGGGTTGCTGCTCGTGCTGGATGTGGAAGCTGTTGCTGCAGCGTTGGAGCTGGGCATGGTGAGAGTCCTTTGGGGCAAGGTGGCGGTGCCCGAGCTCGCACCCAAGCTGCCCAGCCCAGAGTGGCCCAGCGTCAGGGCCTGCTGCTTGGCAGGGTCTAGAGTCTTGTGACGGCCCTGGGTGTGATACGCCCGCTGCGTCAGGCTGCGGATTGAGGCTTCCCGCGGTGGCACAGCTGGGCACGGGTCATGCAGCTCCCCTTGCTTGCGGAAGAATGGGTCTGTCTTCATGTAGAGGGGTAGGTTGCAGAATTCACCTGAGACAGGCAAGAGAAGGCATGCATAAATGCATAAATATGGCCTGTACTTTCTTTAGTATATTATGACATGTGACTTGGTGGTTTTGATTTGATTCGTCATGTGTGGCCAGAAACCAAGCCTTGGAGTGATTACTTAGACGCATCATCTAAGAAAGATAAGTACTTGCTTCCTTGTGTAGCTTTACTCATCCTAGCAACCAGTCCGCAGGTAATTATTGAGTGATATAAAAACGTTTTTGATTTACCTATCTATCTGCTAAATTATACTGTGATGACTGAGTTTAACCCCACTAAGAATAAGTATTTTGTATTTGTTTGGTGAACTCTTTTCAATGCTCTTGCATTGTCATTGTTCCTTTTTGCTGTCCCCCCCCACACACACACTTTATGTCAATGTGAATAAAATTCAGAAGCAAGAATCGGCAGTCTCTATTGAGTGTATTAACTGTAACATTATGTAGTATTACATGTGAACTGAGTGTAAAATGTATGCTGAATCAAGAAAAGCAGGTACTCTCATCTTTTCATACTTACTTTTGTTAGCGCGGTGGGGAATGGGCACAGCCACATTTTTACCGCGGTCATAGTCCTGCGGTTTGGGTGGTGAGGCAGTAAAGCGGCAGATGCCTGGTTCAGACGGCGTGCTGAGGGATGTCATGCTGTCCGCCGGGTCATTGGTACCTGTGGTCATCTGGTCAGACGAGCTGTCGGAGATGAAACACTCTGTAATGGTGAACTTGGCGTGCTGCAGGTGCTCCTCCAGCTTGGCGTGCTCGTAGGCCCTCGCCAGCTCCTCGTAAGTGGAGGAGGCGCTCTCAGTCGACACCATGCTGTTCCGACCCTTATCTGGAAAAACAAAAGATACAATAATCGTCTTAGTTGAATAAGAGCTCATCATGTTTAGTTTCATTATGTTGGCTTCCAGGTGGTTTTAGTGATTTAAAAAAAAATTATTATAATAGTAGTGTAAGTAGTCCGTAGGTGCTTAACTAGGACACAAAAATACTTAAATCAAGAGATTTGGGAAGGCAGAATCGAAATGACATCAAATCAAGAGCAGTATATAAGACTAACGGTGTCACTGTGTCGGTGGCATTGGCTGGGATTGACTCACCTGTGTCTTGCGAGAGGCTGGCACTGTAGCTGTCACTCTCAGTGGCGGTGATGCCATGAGAGCCCATCGTCCGCCAGTCCGAGGTCAGAGTTCTTGCCGAGGCCGTCGACTGGCTCTGACTCGGCCGGCTCAGCGTCCACTGGCTGGAATATCTGTTCCTGGAGCTGTGGGCTGATTTTATACTCTTCCTGGACACGGGATCTGAGAGAGGTCACAGCGATCAGAGAACAGCTCGGCAGTACAAAGAATGCTTGAGTATCCGTGTATTGATTGTCAAGGAGACTCTTAACTGTTACATCATCTTTATGACTGAAGTAGATGTAATAAAAATTTTATCTTTATTTGAAGAGGAACACTCACTTGTGCCTGGGCGGATGTCTGACATGTCAATTAAAGGCCCTGAATTCTGGATAAGGGCTTGGTGGTGCAGAGACACGCCTGTACAGAAGTTCTGTGGATTTACTGATTGACTGAACTCAGTGTCTGTCACTGGCACCGCTGCCTTGTCCTCCCCTGTTGCAAGAGATTAGGAAATACAACAGTTAAGAAAATGTATTAAGCTACTAGAAAAGGACACAGATAAACAATATTTGTGTTGTTGTTGCAGTTGTGCAGTCACGTGCCTATTTGTTTGATGCCTTCCTTGTCCTCAATGAGTAGCTGAACACGTGGGATGTCAATGTGGAGCCTTGGTCCTTGAGGAGGGCCCTTCACTGGAGTGTCTATACTGCGATTGTTCTTGCTACACACACACACATGGAATGACACATATATAGTAAGACTGCTGTCTCTTATGAGACTTTCCAAAAGACGTTGAGATGGACCGATGTGAAATATTACTTCCTCTACAGAGTAGACATAAAAACTATGGAAATAAAAACTGTGTCTTACCTGATAAGCATCTCAGCAAGGCTCTTAGCATCTATAAGAAGACGATATCTTAATTAGATTATAGTTGGCTGTGGAGATGATCGTTTCAACTTGTCACTCTGTGTTAGATTATCCATTATACACAATAACACAGATCTCTCTCTGAACTCTAATTTTTTTTCTCTCACCTCTAAGCCGTTTAAGCCTCTTCTCCTTGCGCTTCTTGCGGATAATGAAGAGCAAAGCAACACCCAGAGTAACCAGGATGACGGGAGAGCCAATGGAGAACAGTTTTTTCACATCATCCCCCTCTCCACGAGCTGATTTAATGGGAGGGATTGTACCTGCAGAAAGAAGAAGGAAGGAAATAAAATATTTAGTACAGGAAATTCAATGCGAGAGGTTTAAATGACAGGAAAGTGATGGACAGAGGGAGATGTAGGATGCACTCACTGCCGTCATAGTCAGTGGTGGCAAACTGGGAGCTCTGGTTCCCGCATCCAGCGCTGTTGCAGGCCTTCATTTTGAGCTCGTACCAGGTGGCCTCTCGCAGCTCGCTGAGGAAGAGTTGTGTGGTAGAGTTGGCCTTGAGGCTCTGCCAGGCCCAGGTACCTTTGGGCCTAAAGTCCAGCATCATGTCAGTGATGGGGCAGCCACCGCTGGTCCAGCCCTGCAGGTTGAGCCCTGCGTGAGTGGAGTTGATGTGCGTGAGCAGCGGCTGATCCTTATTGAACACTGGTTCTGTAGAGAAGAGTGGCAAAGACACAGAGCAAAAGGAGGTTAGAAAGATAAGAAAGCAATATAGTATGTCTGTATTTATCTGTTAATTATTCATGACTTCACATGTGGGAAGAATACTATCACTGTAGGTACTATATCACATTCTTAGCCGGAGACAGACATTTTAAGTAGATGAAAAAATAATTTCCCTCCACATAAAATATTTCTTTGTTATGCTACAATCTTACATGTTTTCACTGTCCATTATTTGAGAGGGGCGATAGGCACAATTCCTATTCAAACAAACATTAAATAGGATAGAAAAGCAAGCAAAAACCAGATGTAAGACTTGTCAAACTCAGCAAAGAAATGTCACACTTAGATTTAGATTTATTCCTGATACATCTGAAATGAGAAATTGTATTCTCTTTTAAGGCCCCAGAGTTATATAGTCCGTTCAATCCCATTTCAATCACATCTACAACACTTTTGCTCCCACCCCCTCACCTCTTCCGTGTGTCTTAGCCTCAATGATCTCACTGATGCGCCCTGAGCCCACACTGTTCTTGGCGGCCAACTTGACCTTGTACCAGGTTCCACAACGCAGATTGTCCAACCTGAAGGATCGTTCACTGGAGCTGATGAACACGTCCCTCCACTCCTCTGTGTTGTCCACTGAATACTGCAGCACAAATCCTGCAGAATCACACAGCACAGCCTTATGTCAAACACAAGTAATTTAGAGCTACTGTAAATCCAAGAAATTAAAGATTGTGGAGGATCCTGGCTGCTGCTGCTACATCTGATGGACACCAGGGGGCAATGATCAGCTACAATCAGCTCTAGTTTGACTACTACTTACCCAGAAACAATGTTTACACTGTGCAGCATTTGTGCAATTGATAGCAAGTGGGTGATGCACAGTTAAAAGGTTCTGTCAGAAAATCAACTAGGATTAGGTTAGGTTAAGGATTTTCTTTTTATGAGACAGCTGCAAAGTTGGCAGATATTTCTCTGGTCACAGAAAGTGTTGTCGGGAGCATACCTCTGATGGAACTTCCTCCATTGTCACCAGGGATCCAAGCCAGGGTGATGGAGGAGGTGGAGGTAGTGGAGACGGTCAGACGAGGCTGATCAGGAGGAACTGGATGTAGGCACAGAGACAGTGACTCAACAACAGAGCAGAAACACATCCTCCCCTGGTCCTGCACTGGTCAGTTCCACTCAAATACAATCTTCTGTTTTCTTCTTACCTTGCACCACCAGATTGACGATGATGGTGTCAAAGCCCAGAGTGTTAGTGGCCGTGCAGGTGTAGTACCCAGAATCCTCTGCTTTGACTGAACGTAGCACCAGTGTGCCGTTGGATAAGATCTGCCGCTGGCTGTCAGCTGTCACTGGAATGGCAGAGTCCTCGCTGACAAAGTACAGACAGGTTACAGATGTTAATGTAATTCCAGTGTAAGTTATTTTTCTCTCTCACAAGCAGCAGTATCTGCCTGGGTGAGTCATGACACTGACATATAAGTGCTATATGATGAGCTCTGACCTGTCTTTGGTCCATTTAATTGTGGGGGCGGGTTCTCCCACTGAGCTGCAGGGTAGACGCACTTCCTTCATCCAGGGTGTGGTCACCGTGCCCCCAAAGGACAGGATCTTAGCCGGGACTGCACACACGCAAAATAAAGTGATTAAAATTGAATCTTTGACACACAGATGATGATAGACACAGCAAGACGAAACAAAAAGTGCTTCAGCATCTCTCTGTCTGTACTTTCAGATGTCTAACTCTCTTCTGCGTGCTGAATGAGTTTGCCTAAGCGGAAAGGCCTTTACTCACTGCTGAGGGAATAAAAGCTGTAGCGGAGTGTTTTAGTGTAGCCCCTCCTCTAACCTCTTCGTTTCAGTCTATCTTTTCTCCATAGATCCTCCCCTCTATTGATTCTCTCCTGCTACCTCTCTCCCCAAGGGTCATTTTACTGGATAGGCCCTGTTCATCACCACATAATTAACAACAGAATTTCTTGCAACATAGCCGCTACTCAATCAATACTACGGCTGTCAATCAATAACAGAGCCAGCAGACAGAGCAAGAAGGAGAGAGAGTGATGAAAGTGATCTGTGTACCGGAGATCATGTTGCCGTTTCATAGTCATCTTTAGAGCGCTCTCCCTGGTAACCTTTACAGAAATCCCTTTACCCTTCTCCTCTACTACAGACTCGCCTGTAGGACCCACCTTTCCCAGCAGGCTCCACTGTGACCTTTGAGCTGATGTTGCCTCGACCCGCAGTTGTCACCGCTGCTGCCCAGATGTGGTATTGTTTACCGCGGGAAAGGTGCGTGATACGGTAGAAGAGCATCTCCGGGTTGGCCTCGTACTCACTGGGTGCCTGGAACAGAGGGCACGCAATGTTAAATTAGCAAACTATAACACAGTGACATGACAGGCTTGGTGGCCACTTTTGTACTAGAAACTCTACCAGAGTAAACAACTGTTATACATCTTAAATGTGTACTAAAAGACAATAGTCATTTTAAGTCCTTACTTTCATGAAAAAAAGAAGTAAACATTGTGTCATTGGTCTTTTCTCACAGCAGACATTTTAACTAGTCATAGGAAAAGCACAGGAGTCACTCGTAACATGAACAATGGCTCTGTTCAACTCCAGTGTCTCAGTAAGCCATGACAGTGTGACAGTGAGCCAACTTGCACAATACCAGGACCCTGAAACTGAAGCAGCTAAATGGAATTCAGCCATCATTCATTTTAAACACTTGTACTTTTCTTGTTCAGAGACAAATAATAAAAAAATTAGATTCCTAATTGTTATATTGACAGGGATCCATTATTGTATTTTCAAGCCGACCCTTTTTCTATTTATATGTGCTATACTACTTTTTATTTTCTACTTGAGATCATTCATATTGCACATTTATTTTTTATCTATTTAGAATACATTTCGAGGGTTGGTTGACCTTGAGTGTGTGCCTTATCGCTTAAATTGACATTAAGCATGCAAATGTTTTTTATTTGTTATTTACACTCTGTGTTTCTCTCGCTTGTAATTGTTGGTTCTTGCAATAGGTGCATATTGATACTGGAGGCCTCTCTCAGCCTTGAATTACCTCTCTTCACACTCCCTGTGAGCCCAGTCATTTAAAAAACTCAGATGATTGCTGTCTTTAAGAAACCTTGATAAGTAGGATTTAAATGTCTTGACCGAAACAATGATAAAGGGAAATGTTATTTTGGTGGGATTTATTCACTCATTAATAAAATGTATTTACCTTTGATGCACAAGTTAAACGTTTTGACTGAGTGACGGCCTTTTGCAGGAAAAACATGTGGTAATTGCATTTAAGAATTTGAATTTGTTTCAGAAGTGTTACAGTTAAGCATCAAGCAGTTTAGTATTTTAAAAAAAACTGTAAGAGAATTAGATGAAAATGTACCAAGAATGAATGTGTGGATTTCCCCATTTTTTTAAACAAGACAATTTATTCACTGGGTTAAGAAAAATCACATTTTAGACCTCAACACTAGATTAAATGATGTGTCTGTGTGGATATTTTCCTACAAACACATCTTTGAGAGGATATTCACACATACACCTGCAAGCACGCAAACATACACATGCCAACGTGCACACAAAAAAAAACAGTTTTCTCTCAAGTCGATCCTCTGTTCTATCTCTTTAATCTGTTCATCTCTCAGTGTTCATCTTCAGTTCCTTCACCATTTGCTTTCCCCTCTTTTCCTCTATCCCTCTCTGTCTAGCTCAGTGAAGAGGGAGAGGATGGAGGTACAGAGGGAGGGAGGAGGGAGAATGTGTGTGAGTGTGTGTGTGTGTGTGTGTGTGTGTGTGAGTGTGTGTGTTAGGGGGTGCGTTCGAAAATTCCTCCAGCATAGCGGTGGTGTTGTGGTGATCCAGGGAGTGATACAGGGAGATAATGAAAAGACGGACAAAAGCACTCTCATCTTGATGTGACTGATACCCTCCTCTGCTCCTCCCTTCTTCCCAGCCTGTCTCTCACTCTATCCCCCTCTTCCTCTCCCCTCATCTGTCTCTTTTTCTCTCATTCCCCCCTCGGTCTCTCCCTACCTCTAATGGTGTTTCTCTTTCTCCCTCTCAACCTCCTTTCCCCCCCTCCCTTCCTCCCTCTCTCCTCCCCGCCTGTGCTCATTTACATGGCACTCATGCACAGAGAGGGAGGAGTATTTGTGAATAATAAGAAAGTGAGATTCTAGCCTGATATCAGATTTCACTGGGTGCTGGTGTTTGTGTGCACATGATCTAACCACAACTGAAATGCCGCACATGCATGTATAAATAGAAAATGTTGAAATGTGATGTCTGTGTGTGTGTGTGTGTGTGTGTGTGTCTATGTGTGTGTGTGTGTGTGTTTCTTATGCGGCAGTGTGCATGTGTGAGCTTGTTCTCTGCTTCATTTGCATATCTACGTCTCATCACGTTGCCAAGACAACCTCATCTGTTCATCTGGGAGGGCAGGAAATAAAGCGATGGTGCAAATGCAGTGAAAGAGAGACACACGCAAAGATACACACAAACCTACAAACACACACACACACACACACACACACACAAACTGGTTCAATTATTAATGGTGGTTACAAATTAATTATTTCCATTGGTAGAATTTTATCAAGTTCACAAATTCCTTTTTTCTCAATCATCTGGAACATTTTTTACTGGCCACTTCTGAGTCACACCCACAGAGGAAGGACTTACCGGCTGTCCAGACCCTGGACTGGAACAGTAGATGGTGTACTTGCGGATAACACCATTTGGTTTGTGAGGTGGCAACCAGGACACAACCACACTACTCGGAGAGGAGGGAACTGCCTTGATGCCAGCTGGTGGCCCAGGAACTATAGGAAACACATAAGGAACATCAGCAAAGCGGGGCAAGTGTATATGCTTCTGTGTGTGTGCGTGCACATGCTGGGTGTTGGACGCCTATTAAAGTAAGCAGGCTTGTTTGCAGATTGCTAGTCTTATCCTGCACTAAGCCGCTCTGGGAGGACTTGGAAGAACTCCCTTTGGGTGTACGGTGGTGACATATGTTCAGTCAGACGTTGGTCAGCAGTTCTGACTCTTTGACACCCAGCATTCTCTTAACTCTCAAACCCACAAACAGATTAGACACTAGTGTCTGATCCTCTGCTTGCCACTTCAGCTTGACATTGAACACCACTTAATACTCGCATTACCATCTAAAGGCGTAAGAAGGGTTTAAAATGGATACACTCTTTACAAAAAAACACATCAGGACACTGGATATTGTGAAAGGTGAACAATGATGCTTTTGTCACATTGGCCTTACAGTATGGGGCTCACAGTGTCAAGCCTATTCAATGTCTACCATAAATATAACTTGAGCTTGACAGTGGGCCTCATCTGGAGACTACAGAATGTGGCTACTGCAGTGTAAGACCCAGCTCTCTAAATCCAACCCCCAATTCCTCTTTCTCTTCCATGTGGGGCCCCCTGATCCAGTCATTCAACCTGCCCATGCCCTCAGACTCCTTCATCCTGCATACTACACAAAGCAGGGATAAAAAAACACACAAACTCAAAAAGGATACATGGTGGTGAGGGAGGTTTTAAAGGAGGGAGGCGGGGATGACAGAATGGCGAGAATGATATGTGCAGTTCCTGGGGGAGAGATGATGGTAGTGGTTGTGGTTGTGGTGGTGGTGGGGAGGGGCATCATTATCATAACTGGACCTCCATGTCAAAGTAGGAGTGGTAGTGGGAGGGGGGAGAGTTAAGTCCCATCTGGTGCCCAAAATCTGCCCAGGACTCCAGTCAGACAGACAGACAGACAGACAGACAGACAGACAGACAGACAGACAGACAGACAGACAGACAGACAGTTAGACAGAGAGTCTGATGAGGAAGCAAGGCACAATGGTGCTGAGTGAATATCCCCACCTACATGAATACATTATGCACTACTGTGCCAAACAGGACATATCAGAGAAAAGGGCTAATACACTCAAAAGTCAGAAAATTCTTGGCTATGATATTTATAGTATATCCTTTTTTATGCCTTATTTTGTTTAGTCAGCCAAGAATAGCCTGTGTGATCACCTTTCTATCTTTCCATCTTCAACCCCCAGGCCCCTCCTCCTCACCCTCCTCTGTAAAGAGACATGGATCCATCTGTAATCCCGCCTCCAATGGTGTAAGCACAAAATTAATTCTCTCTAATCCAAGAGGAGTTAATCCCTATGCCTATGGCAAGAGGGCTGATGGAGAGGATGCGGGCCCGGGCTGATGACTGACTCCTGGATGCTATATGCTCCCAGAGAGGCCCCCCCTCACCGCAGCAGTGTCTCCCCGCCTGCCCTCACTCAGCCCTGAGCTGTGCACCCAAAGCCTCTTAATTCTCATTAGCACTGCTAATGGAGCTTCCCAGCATAAATGAGCTTTTGTCATGGGTTTGAGATAAAGCCCAGCACTCTTTTTTTATATATCCCCTTCCATCTCCCATCTTCCTACCCACTTTACCTCATACACTGTGCAAGCATAGTTCATGCTTTTCTCTATTTGGATTTTTACGCACTAAAATATATTAACAAATTCATCAAATGCTGACACCTTTTCTTTTGAGTTCCTGTTAGTGTGAATACTCACGGTCTTCGCGGGTTTGGATATACAGGACGTTGCTGCGGACCCCATCTCCAGCTTGTGTGTAGGCCAGCACCTGAACACTGTAGTTGGTAAACTTCTCGAGCCCTCGCAGCTCCACCTGTTCACGTGTGGTGGTGATATTCTGCATCTCTCCCCATTCTGAGAAGGGCAGGAGTGGAAAACAGTTTTACAGAGTACTGTTGTAATCTGAAGGACAGGCAACACAGACCAACTCTGTCTTCTATAAAATACATTTATATACTGCTAACTTGCTTTGCTAAATATGTTTTGGAGGAAATATGATTAGTGCCTGGAATACAAGGCAGCAGTTGTAGGAAGGACATTGGTTGGATAGTCGGTAATAGAAGGCACAAAACTCTAAAGCCGGCTGGGATTTGTTTGCTGTCTCCCATGTTTTGTTGGGTTTATAGGCTGTTAAGCACTTGGTTAAGATTAAGAAAAGATTGTGTTTTTTGTTAAATATTAAAAAAAGTCAATGTGTCCTGTCTTGCTTCACAGTCTATCCCTAATTGTAACATAGTCCTTTAGTAGCCATAACCATTAAAAAGGCTAATTGCTAACTTTTCTTTTGTCATTATTTGAATGTCTTTTCCCACAAAACATATTTGCTGATGCAAATTTAGGAAACAGGATTGAACAGACATGATAACACAAAGACACTCAACTACTGTCCTGTAATCTCACCAACCATCAATACTGATGGTGTTAACAATCTAAGACACAAAGAAACAAGGGCAAACATGGACAAATTCAAAGACGCACAGGAACAGGAAGTGCTTTATGAGAAAGGTGCGGACACACATTAACACATTCTGACTCACAGCACTGACAGAGAGGTAGGTGGGTGGGTGGGAGGGTGGTTTTTCGGTGAAGTTTAGAATGAGATAGGTGATAATTACTCTGCATTGGCCACTGGGCCTGGCCCCCACAGCACCCACCTCCGTCAGGGAAGAGGGACCAAAACACAACCCGGTAGCCTTTCAGCACACCGTGCAGCGTCAGCCGTGGAGGCTCTGCCCATGTGATCACCGCCTCGTCCGACGTCACGGAGATGGCTCGCACGTTCTGCGGAGGCTCACTGGGCACTGGAAAGAGAGCAGGGGACGAGTGTTATTGCTGCCTGGTTCAAATATATGATTTCTGAGGTTGTTTTAATGATTTCTACTTGTCAAAAACCCTTGGTTATTGCTGTCGCTAAGAAGACCTGACTGATCTAGCATGGCGGGCTGAAGCACTGATAATTAATGACTACTCAACACCAACAACCCACAGGCAATCTCTGCTGAAACAAATCAGTCAAATAAGCTCAAATTAGCTCTCAATAGCTCCTTGTTCAGTGCTAGCTTTTAGAGCACAGAGGAGAGAAGGAGAGGAGGTGAGGAGGGGGGTCGGCGGAGGGGAGGAAGAGCACTGAGAGAGAGCAAAATGAATAGTAAAGCAGCAACACCTTAAGGGGTTAAAATGCAGATGAGGAGGGTGGGGTGAGCTGCGATGTGGAGGATAAAATCTGAAGGAAGACAATGTTCAGCTTTAGGGTAATTGCAGTTGTAGGAGCAGCTTCAGACTACCTATCTGGACAATTACCATCACTATTACTGTTGACCACGGTGTCTATCATGTCTGTCTGTCCACACGGACAGGGGAGGGTCCATTTATCTCTGGTTAAAAGGGAGGAATGGCCGTGTCAGAAAAATATAAGAAATAAAAAGATGTAAAACAGACAGAGGGTGGATGAGGAGGAAGAGAAGGGAACCAATGGGAGGAAGAGGAAGATAAAGGAGAGGAAGAGAAAATGAAGGCAGAGTGGGCAGACATTTAGAGAGTAATGGGGTTCCTTGTTCCTCTCTCGCTCTCTACCAGCCTAATGAGGGTGCTAATTAAAGTCGAAAGAAGAATGGGGGATGTGCTGCAAATTCATTTCCACCGTGAGCGTGTGCATTTGTGTCTATACATGTATGTTAGCTGTCATAATTTGTGTCTGCCATCTTGTTGACTGCATTTGACTCTATTTTCTATCATTTTTGACAGATCAAAGAGATTTGCTTTATGGATCTTTTAATTTCTGTCTCTTGCCGCCCTCCTTCATGTCCTCCCACACTCTCTCCTAGTCTGGCAACCCGCTCTCTCTCAGTTGTGACTACACTCATTTCTTCTATCCTTTTCTCCTGGTTCTCCTACCATCTTCCAGTGTGGTAGCATTGATCTCAGTACTGGATGGACCCGTCCCAGCTCTGTTGAAGGCCTGGACCACTACCCCGTACTGGGCAAACTTCTTTAGGTTGTCCAAGGTGTACACTTCACTGTCCCCTGTAGCTTTCATCTCCACTATGCTGTACTGGCCGTTGCTGCCTGGACCGTTTTCTCTGTAACCGATCTGGTAGCCTCGGATAACCCCGTTCTGCAGCTCTTTTTTAGGAGCCTGAAAGACATGTGGTGACAGCAGTTAATATCAGAGTGCCTGTCAAACCTAAACCCTGTTTAGCTGCACTAAAACCACAGTGTAACACTGTAACTGGGTTATTTTGGAATTCGGCAGTAGTACAGTAATAACAGTAAAAATTAAACACAAGAGCTCAATGAATGCAACATTTCTAATACATTTTATGATGATATATCCTTTGATGATTTGAGCTCTGTTTGCAGTCTTTTTTTTTTTAGCTCAGAATTCTTTGGCCTCATTTTTCAGGTTGAGGAAATAGCTCAACTTTTCTCATTTTATAACTAATCAAGCAGTTTGTGTATGTGCTTGACCCTCAAAGGACACTACTAACAACAAAAGCTTAAACACTTGCACCAGTAACTCTTGCTTAAACTTATCACAATGCAACGTAAACCTTTAACAATCGTAGTTAAAGACATACAGGACATATATGCAGTTTCCAGGACTGTGGTCGTATAAATATAAAATGAACTGCTGTGCAGACAGTTGACTGGGTATTTTACAGTGATTTCCAGTAATCATAAATAAGCACTGTATCATAAAACACATAGTAGTGATTTTACCCTCCATGTAACTCGTATGCTCTGAGATGTCATCGGTTGGAGGATTACTTCCATAGGTGGCCCGTCAGGTGCTGTTGATGGAAGACGTCAAATAAAGTGTTACCGTCAATATTCATAGTCAAGTGTGATTTCAAGAGGAGAAAACAATCACTTACGTGCTTCCTCAGTACTGATTGTGAGCTCTTTGCTGGGAAGGCTGCGGCCAATCTTGTTGTAGGAGTACATGCGAATACTGTAAACACAGGCTGGGTGCAGCTCTACAATGTTGGCCTGGTTGTTGGTGGGTGAGATGTTCCTGGTTGTGTACATATGATCCCAAGAGTCTGTCAAATACAAAAAAAATTAGATTTTTAAGACATGTACCGATATCTGACAGGCATATTTACATTTAGGATACCTATCGAGGATACCTACCTGACTTGTTCTTGTACTCGATGTCATAGCTGGTGATGATGCTGTTTCCATCAAACCTTTGGATCCAGCGGAGGTTCATGCTCCTGTCCTTCACCTCCCTCACTTCCAGTTCAGGGGGATCTGGTGGTTCTGTGAGTGAGTAAGAGAGAGAAAGAAGGTGAGAGCTTTTCATGAGCAATGTGATTTGATTAAGATCTAACATTTTCCCACTGGGATGTTTACAGAATAACATTTACTGTGTTATGAAGCTTAATGTTTCAGAGAAGGTAGAGATACCTTGCACAGTGAGTTGGATGAGCCCTCGACCCTCTCCATAGGAGTTGATGGCGTGGCAGGAGAAGAAGACAGAATCTCCTCGCTCGGCTGGGTTCAGCTGTGAGCATCAACGCAAACAGAAAAAGGTTACAAGGTGCCACAAAATGAGGAAAGAAGAAAGACGATGCACAGCAGCAGTATAAAACTCTAAAAACTCAGTTCACTTAAAGGAATGGTTTGACATTTTGGGAAATTAACTTTTTCCCTTTTAGAGTTAGATGAGCAGATTGATCCCACTTTCATGTCTGCACGTAAATATGATGCTACAACCAGCAGCTAATTACCTTTAGCTTAGCATTAAGGCTGGACACAGGGGTAAACAGCTATCCAGGCTGTGTCTAAAGTAAAAAAAAAAATCCCCCTGCGAGACACTCAAAGCTCTCTAAACAAATGAGATGTAACATAACATTACAGTACAGTATGCGAATAAGTCTATTTTCCAAAATTTCCCAAATAAGTTATTTCCTTTACTCTTTGCTCTATATTCACATCACAGCATCAAACAATCCTTCTCATCAATGTTGGGTGGGGTCTGCTGGGTATTCTGTATCTGACCTTAAGGGTAGAGATGACTTCGTCTCCCTTCTTGTTGATGGTGATGGAGTATCGGGGGTTTCTCTCTGCGTCGATGACGGTGTCGCCTCTCTCCCATCGGATGATGATGGGCTGCTCGCCCCGCGCTGTGCAGTTCAGCTCCTTGGTCTGGCCCTTCCTCGCCATGGTGGTGTTGGGGTGGCTGGTGATCATGGCAGGAACTGAACAGAATCACAGACACATGTCAGTGTGACAAATAGTATTATATGGAGTAATGAGACGAGGGAACAGGGATGTGGTATTGGAAACCGAGGATATATTACAGATGTATAGACATCTCTATTTCTGCACTTCGTTCTCCATTTTCATTTCACGCTTCAAGCCCCGCTGGTCCTCTTACCCTACCTCCTCCCTGTCTGCCTTCTTCTTCTTGTTCTCCTGATTCTTTTCCACCTCCTTTCCTCAGACATAGATTATTGATTGAAGGGGTTCCTGCGGTTTTGTTTTCATCACTAATTCATCAGCCCTTTCCCCCACCAAACATTCAGGAGCACAAAGACCGGCAGCCGGAACACATCAATCAATAGTAAAGATACCCCCAGTTAAGGATGTACAGGACAGAGACAAGGTTTTGTTAGGTTCAGTACAGGCCGCACTAGCCTGGGGCAAAAGTGCATCTCAGAGGAGCTGATTCCCCTCCAAAAACCTTGTCTCTTTATACAGTATATGTACAATCCAGGAGATGTGGTTATGAAAGGAAGTGTGTTCAAGCCAGAAAGTGTATGATTGACACTTACTCTTGACAGTGAGGATCATGCTCTTACTGATGTCTGAGCCCACTCCGTTGGAGGCCTGACAGAGGTAGTACCCTCGGTCGTCCTCAAGCACATGTCTGATGAGCAGAGAGCCGTTTGACATAATCTGTATACGGCCAGTTAGAGGGACTGGGTGGTACTGCTGAGGGTTCCCTACACCTGCACCACACAACACAAAGTAAATGCATGTTACTGCCTTCATTTTTCCTTGTTCACATGATCTTGTTATTGCAATGCTGTCGATGGGCTGATTTTACCTTTGGCGTGTTTCCACATGACTTTTGGAGGTGGGTAACCCTCCACAGAGCAGTTGAGAACTCCAGCTTTGCCATAGATACAATCCTGATTGTTGGGCTGCACCACAAAACGTGGTGGCACTGAGAAACAAAAAGATGCAATTACCCTAAAGGGAAGGACTAAAAGAAAGTTCATTACACTAAAAGGTAGAAAACGGGAGTGTTCCTAAAATAACATGCAATTCTAAGATCCCTGTGCATATTAGATATCACATCTGATCTGACCTAATTCATCATCATACCATTCTCCCTTTGCTCAATCCCTCACCAGTAACAATCAACTGTCTTTCCCAGCTGACAGTGGCGGCGGCGTTGCTGGCGATGCAGGTGTAGTTTCCGTTGTGCTTCAGTGTCACCTTGGAGATTTGCAGGGAGCTCATGAACTCTTTGGTCTCTATTGCGACGCCAGAGGCGGAGCCTGGCACGATGAGCTGGCCGTCTTTGTGCCAGGTGATGCGTATGGGCATGTCCCCAGATGACACCACACAGGCGATGTACATGAGCTTCCCCACTGAGGTAGAGGGGATATCGAATGGCTGGATGAGGGGTGGCACTGGGGGAGAGAGGGAGAGTGCAGAGAGTGAGTGGAATAAAGGCAGCGATAGACGTGGAAGAGTGGCAGTGTGGCCATCTGGAGCAATGCTGAGAGAGAGAGAGAGAAGGTCATTGGCCAATGGGCCCCTCTTCTCTTCCCCCCCTTCAGCCCCCATCTTCTGCAGCCCATAATAGCTGCTCTGGTTAGAGTCCAATTGGCAGGAGGAAGTCATTCCGTTGCCATAGTAATGGAGGTTGGGGTGGGGGTACTACAGCTGAGACATCTGGGGGATTTAATCTAGGCTTCATTATTATTCATCTAATTAAATCAGAGACACACTCGCACGCAGGCACATGCACACACCCTTAAACACCTCTGCAGCTGCCCTGCTACCATCGTTACCCCACTCACAGACTAACAAAATACAGACGCACACTAAAACATAAATCTATCCTAAAACAACATCTTCCTCTGCAGCAGTACTGTAATCTGCACAACTTTGAATCCTGGCGTCTCCAGTTGGTAGTGGCTAGGTACTCTGATATCCAGAAATATCTTTTGCTAACATCTGTAAACTAGTACAAAATACACCCAACAACAAGCAGAAACACCTCTTTTGGGAACTATCCCAATCAGGTAGATACATTGCACAGTGCAGTTTTATCCCTTTGAACGCATTCTTCTCTTCACACTTACCTTTGACAGTGACGTGGACGGTCTGGTTGATTGACACCTGGGGTTGGATCAGAACGCTACACAAGTAGGTGCCCTCGTCCGCGCCCTTCTGCACGTCCGTCAGCCTCAGGGTGCCGTTCTCAAACACCACTTGACGATGATTATCAGGCAGCTGCATGCCGTCCTTCAGCCACTTGATGGAGTAATACGGGTAGCCAATCACACGGCACGTTATGTAGGTGTTTCTGCCCGCCACTGCGGTGATGTCCCGCATGGGTCTGATTCGGGGTGGACCTGGAGACACAGGGAAGAGAGGGAGGGGATGGAGGGAGGAGACAGAGAGAGAAACACAGAGGTCGGAGAGAGGGGCAGATGAGGTGAGGGAGGTCATGGCAGAGTAAGAGAGCAGCCACGGAGACAGGAGGTGAAGAGATAAAGGTTGAGGGATAGAGTGATTGGGGCAAGTTGACAGGTAGACAGGGAGGTTAGTTATGCTCCCTTTACTAAAAATCTGATTGAGGATATTGTTGATTTTAGTCTAATCAGATAGTCTGTGTATCTAAGTAGTTTTGTGTACTTTTCTAAATTACCCTCAGATAGATAGATAGATAGATAGATAGATAGATAGATAGATAGATAGATAGATAGATAGATAGATAGATAGATAGATAGATAGATAGATAGATAGATAGATAGATAGATAGATAGATGACGTTACCCTACAAAGCCAAAAATGGACTAACAAACGTGTTATATTGGGGCGAAGCTGAGTTACAGATCTGACTTTCCAATGACTATTTTACGATATGAATAGAGGAAATGAGGCTAACAAAAAGATTTTTTTAAATATATATATAGAGTTATATCTAGTTAGCTTGTGAGGTAGACACAGCTAGTCTTAGCTAAAGCTAAAGCTGAACTGACATACTTACTGATTTTTTTCAAGTTGTGAGAAAAATCTACATTTTTTACGAGCCGACATCTTTGAAATTCATGTTGTTTTTCCACATAACTAAAATGAAGAAAATTCCTACATCCATCATGATGCTGATAAAAATCTAGTGTTAGCTAAACTAGCTTAGCCAAGTGGCAGTAACCATCACCTCAGCTTTTGGATGAAGTGGAATTCATGCTATTTGGTGTAGTAAATCACACATTTAAATGTTTTAAATTGTACATTAATAAGCACTTTTTTAGATGTAATGTGATAAAAAAAAAAAATCATGCATTTACCGCTGTCTGTTTTAATTCCTGTGGCTAAGGACAGATTTTTTGGGGCGAAAAGTTTCACTTTAAAAAGTTTATCAACAGATCAGTTTGCGGACTTAAATTAATTTTTAAGTAAAAAGTAATTTGTCTTTGATATATTGCCTCAAAGCGAAGCACCGTACTGAAACAATTTCTCTCCCCAAGGAGGACTGTGGTACTTGTGGGCAAATAACGAAACCTGTAAGTGAGAAGGTAACTAATGCGTTGGCTAATTGGATAGCTAAAAACTAGCAACCAATTAACACAGCACAAGATGATGGAGTGAGAGAAATCATTCGAAATGCACTGGGAGACGCCTGTTATAATCTTCCCGCAAGGGGAACCATCGTGTCAAGAATATACACTTTGTAAGAAGGCGAGAGGGCAGAGGATGAACAAGCTTGAGCAAGCAAAGGATGTCGCTCTCACAGGGGACCAATGAACTTCTGTGAGCAATGATAACTACTTGGGCATCACAGCGCACTTTACTGATAAAGAACGGAAGCTGCAATCGTTTGCACTCACTGTAAATAAAACAGAAGAGCATAGTATTTGAATTTAAATGTACTTCCTTTTCGTTCATTCTACAATAATAGATTTTACATTTAAATATGTATTATTACAAGCTGTCTCAAGAAAGAAAAATGCGATTAATCAAAGCAAATTGTGTGATTCATTTGTTTAATTTTTTAATTGATCGACATAACTAAAATGTATTTATTTAATTGATTTAGATTTAGATACTGTTAATCTCTATGAACTATGGACTGTAAATACATAATAAACAAACTAGTCAAAAATGGGTAATTGCATTCTGGGAAGATTATCCAAAGGCAGTATCTGCATTTCTGATTATTTGGGTTCTATGGCAAAAATTACCAATCTAAAAGTTCATCAAATTAATGCATTACAACCTTTTTATCTGTTTTTATCTGCATTTTTCTGGCCAGCCGGAAAACTAAAGCTTCTGAACATCACTGCTTCTGTAGTTACTTCTCACTGCCTTTGTAGTGCAAAACAGATAGACAGATAGATAGATAGAGTTGTAGATAGATACATAGATAGATACATAGATACATAGATGTCTGTGTGTGAAATGCAAAGTGATCTATGCCTCTCACTAGCCCTTGTGTGTTTGTATAGAGTCAGGTGTAGAGTGCATTTATATTGAAAAGCAGACAGGCACCTCTTACGTTTATGCGCGCTTGGTACTCGGCGCTACCGGCCGAGTTGCGTGCGACGCAACGATACACTCCCCCATCTCGAATGAGCGGGCTGCTGACGTTGACGTGCGACACGGTCAGGCCGTCTGACAGGGTGTACTGGCTGGTCTTGTAGGTGGAGTCTCGCACCACAGGCTCGTCGTCCAGCGTCCAGGTGATGGAGGGGGGCGGGGCTCCTTTGGCTGCACACATGAGGGAGAAAGGCTCGCCGGGGTTCACCACCCGCTCACTGAAGGAAGACACAATACGAGGAGTACCATCTGAGAGGAGACAGAGAGAGAAAAATTAAAAAGGACATAATTGTAGAGTGGTAATGAGATAATGAGAAGTTCTGAGAGAAAAGCAGCATGTTCAACAACTTGGATTTAGATCTGTTCATCTCTGCTGCGTTTAGCCAAATTATTTTATGTATTTGTTCAATGACAAACAGCTCTGTTGTGTCCTATTTATGCAGCTATCAATGACATTATGCACCAGCATTCAGATAAAGAATAAAAGTCAACAGTAGAAGCTTCAAATTTAAAGACCATGGTTTCCTGTCATTTTGCTTTTACAATGCTGTAATAAAATGCCTGCTGTGTCCCTGTTTATACAGAATGTGCACTCGTTTGGTTCCCTGAGAGTCTCTGTCCACATACCCTCTAGCAGAATAATGGAAAAGTCCTGAGCAGTGTGGCCCTTTCGGGAGGCGAAGCACTGGTAGGCCCCAGAGTGGAACTTCTGTGCTGCAGTGATCTGCAGGGTGTCGTTGTGTTGTCCCTGGATGGAGATGTGCTGGTCGGGGACGATGGGCTCCGTGTTGCTGAACCAGGTGATAGTGTATTCTGGAGAGCCCTCCACAGTGCAGGTGAAGAAAAGTGTGCTGCTGATGCCAGTTTTCAGATTCTTAGGGGACAAGGTCACTCGTAGTGGATCTGAGAGAAGGATGCATGGTGTTTGTTAGAATACAGATGGATTAAAAAAACGAATCACTTTCTTTCTTTTTGTTTTATTGTTTCACTGTGAAGCAATTTGCATCTTGATCTGTAAAACTGTTATATAAATGCAATGATTATAATAAGTTACTGCTGTTGCTAGACTACTTTTTATTTTCCACAAATCATGTCATGAATACAAAGATTATAGAATTTTCTGGTGTTGTAAATCATAATTAATTAATTAGTTAGATTTAATTTATTGGTGGTTTATAGCTCAGGCCTTAAGGCGTAACAAACCACTTATAACCCACGAGATAAAAATAAACTTTGTAAGTAAACATTTAAATTATACTTATTTAACTTCCTTTATTTACACATCATATTAGGTTGTTACTCATTCACAAAGCATGGATGATTTTATTAATTGATTTATAAACAAATTTCAAATCCTTTACAAGTATGTCATATTGTCTAAGTGACACTGAAATCATTCAACTGGATTCAAAATGTGACACATGGATTCATACATACAGTAGGCGTTTACATTCATAGAGACAGGGAGAGAGAGAGAGAGAGAGAGAGAGAGAGAGAGAGAGAGAGAGAGAGAGCACAATCAGCGGTGGTGACTCAATCAGTTCGACGCACTCATTAAAAAAGCAGCTGGAGATATCTCTTCACATCTCGGTCCACTTGTGTGTGTAAGTGTGTCTTTCTGTTTGTGTGTGTGCGATCCGGAGTGTGTGCGTACGTGTGTGTGTGTGCGAAAATGTCAGTGAGCAATAAGGCAGCTGGTGGTGTGTGCTGGGGGGCATCACTGTGCCTCCCCCCCTCACCCTGTCAGAGTCACAGAGTGTGCTGCCATGATGTGCCCACTGGCAAAGCCTACCGCCTCTCTATTCTCTCCCTCTGTCTCGCCTTCTCCCGCTCTTTGTTTCTTTGTATACTTTACACAATGTACATTTATCTCCGCCTCTCTTATTATCTTGTTATTGCATTGTAGATAATGTCATTCCGGCACTGTCTGGATGTCTGATTGTCCCTTCTGTGACCCTTCGTGTTTATCTCCGTCTTCCTCACCCTCCTTCTCTCTGATGGTGAATTGTGCTGGCAGCTGTTTTACGGATTCAGTCTCAGTGATTTATTGCCCTGTCTCTCTTTTTGAGACCTGATATGACGGGGCATCATACAGCTCACACACATGTTTGCTACAGACACACTCTAGGCGCGACTTATATGTGTGCCTCAAACCAAAAGGAGAGGAGTTTGTGAATGTGTCCGTCTGCCAGGCTGATTCATGGAGAAGACAGCGTGGGAGTCTGTCAGGTTGTATGCGAATGTGTGTGTGTGTGTGTGTGTGTGTGTGTGTGTGGTTGTGCTCACACACCTATAACGTGAAGCTGTCCAGACACCTCCTTTGAGCCAAAACTGTTGGTGACCTCGCATGCGTAGCTGCCACTGTCCTCTTGCCTTAGGTCACTGATGGTCAACCCTGTCAAACGCCGTGTCCAGCGGGCATCTGAGGGCAGCGGGCGACCATCTTTCAGCCAGCGCACGGTGGGGCTGGGGTAACCTCCCGCTATGCAGGGGAGCTCGACGCTCTGGCCTGCGTATACCTCCCCTGCTTGGAAACTGTCCAGGATGGTGGGTGAGGACTCGTTGGGGTCTGGAGGGCAGAGATCGTGTTATTTTTTGTATCAAGACAAAGAGAAATATCAGACTTACATGAGTAAACTGACAACACCGAGCTGCTCACCCATTACAGAGAGCCTGGCTCCATTGCTTTGGCGCGTCTCGCCGCTGTACTTATGTTTGGTGATGCACCGGTATGTGGAGAGGGCGTCCTCCTTCTGAACATCAGAGATGTAAAGAGCCCCGAAGGAGGTCAGTGAGAACCTGTTACCTGAAGAAGACACATTCAGTAACTTACATTAATTTCCCCAAAGGAAAGCAGCTGACAGACAGAAATCCAGTAAAAAAACCTGCACCAAGATGATCGTTTTGGTGCAAATCCATTGTGCTCATTGCAAAACCGTATTGTGCTAAGAACAAACAGCTGCCTGAACAGTTGGCACTACCTGCCTGATAATGTTGCTTTGCAAAACCTGGCACTCTTTCAAGGCCTGGAGGACACACAGCGGTCACTTACACCACCCATAGGCAGAGCAGAGGCAGATTTACAATCCCTTTACACACAATGTAAAACTGTTATACACCACACTATCATCACTAAAACTATCTAGATGTTCTTCCTTTTAAGTGCGGTAACAAAAATAAAGGCCAAGTATCAAGTGTGCCACTTACTGGAGGCTGATAGTGGAGATAGGGAAGAGTGAAGCCCAGGTATTCTCTGTACAACTGTTAATATTGCATACCGTATTTTGTCTCGCATACAGGTACACACACACACACACCCTCTCTTTGTCACTTTTTGTCGTCTGTATTTGTTTTTGTATTTTCTTGGATTGCATGGAGCTTATTCCTACACATCACAACACCCATTTTTTCTCCACTGAGAACCTCTGTATAAATCAATGCATCTCATGAATCTAGGTTTACATTGTGTAAATTCAAACACTCAAGATCGAAGCTCTGACTTAGTGTTGACTTTTTCAACAATCTGCCCGTTCAATCAAATTAAACAGCCCTTCTCTCCACAACTAAAAGATGACATTGATGCATCAGTGTCTTAGGTCCTGACCCAATATCCTTTTTCAAAGGGAAATACATCACATTAATGAGGCCATACAATTTCATGGGACCTTTAAACACATGCAATAGCTAACTGTAAGTGAGATATATTTCAAAATGGTTGCCACTGTACAGTTAGGTTAGTTCACGTTTGGAAACGTCAGCAATCACCTGCGTCTTTTAGCGTCTAAGCTGTAGGCCAAGAGCTGGAATTGGCAGAGTTCAGGTGCACCTGTATGTTTATCAGCATCAATATTTTATGTATGGGCACTGTGTTTTGTTGAGGTCTTTGCGGAGGGTTGAGCAGGAACACTGAAAGTAGCAGTTATGGACTGTGCATGTGTTTGCATGGAATATACCGTATGACCCGAGAGGAGGCACAGGCTGCAATTTCACAGCAGCCTTTGTTTGCCCCCCAGAATGAAGCCTTACAGGATAATGAGCACTTTAAGACTGCTACTCCCACAACACCGACGACTCGCCTGTCACAACACTCTGACATAGGCAGCGAGAGAGAGGGTGAGAGAGAGAGAGGGGGAGAGAGAGGGAGAGAGTCAGCTGGATCTGTCAAAGCCACACTTTCTGTCTTCAGCAGGGGACGGAATTCTTCCCATCTGCAGCGACGCCTCTGAAACAACACTGATTACACAATGCACATCGCATTATTTCCCTTACTATCTGTACATCACGACTGAGTGGCTTGCACAGAGAGTCAGTCTATCTTTTTTCGACTCTTCATCTCTTTGTGTGAACCCTCTTATCGTCTCTCTCACCCTTTTCCTCTTGCTCTCAGTCTCTAAGCAGAGTGGCAGACTGAGTAAAATATTAATTACTAAATCACTGTGCTCCCTCAGCTTTTATTCATGCTGACTTGACTAGATAACGAGAAACAGAGCCAATATGCATTACACAGACACACACACACACACACACATACACACACACACACACACACACACACACACACACATACATGGACACACACAGCTGCAGTAAAACATGCACACATGCATGCAGCTCAGAGTATAAAACAGCTGCAGTTGTTAGTGTTGCATAATTTTAAACTCCATATGCACTAAATGTCTTGGAATATATCTCAAACTGGCATGTTTTTTTGTCCAGTGGAAGAAAAACACACAAACTCCCTTTGGGGATTTCATCCCTGATGCCTTCTTCCTGTAACAGCAGAAACTGCTGATCAACTGTGCCATCGGACATGATGCTTCACATTGAGTGAAGCCGTAGATACAAATGTTTTTTTGTTCATTAAAGACCTTCAGAAAAAATACATGAGATGCAAATTTAGTAGGGAGTGTTCAACTTTTTCCGATGTGTTCACCCATGTTTTATCTTTTGATTGCTATTAAAACTATTGAGTGAGCTTGAACTGAAATGAAAAGGACCATTAGGTAAAAAATAGAAGCACTAATAGATCCTCAAAAAACTCAGAAGGAACCATTTAGAGCTTTAAGTATTTTTCATCAACTATAAATGGTTCTTTAAGGAGTCCTTTCACCCAGAAAGAAGCTTTTTGAAAGAAGCTGCATTGCCTAGAGGATGTCAACATTGTTGGATTTTGTATGAGTTCGGTCAGAGTCTCAATGAGACCCATTCATGGAAGAAAATTGTGCAAAACTGTTCATGTATTCCTGATGCAGATGGGGTCCAGTGGTGAACTATTACAATATTTACTTGTAAGTGCTGAATCAAGAAAACAATGTGTATTTTTTTTTTAAAAAAAGGTACAGAAATCAAATGTTTATTACATTTATTACACAATAGTTTTTTCCCCCTGCACCACTTACATACCTTTTATAGATTTTTCTTTTTTTTACAGAAGGCCGCTTCAATAAGTCACTTTTACTACGCTCACGAGTGCATTCACAATAACATACACAGACAATTTTAGTCCTGTACATATCTAGCCTTATGCTTTATGCTTTAGGTAACACACATCTTTTTGAAGCTCATTAAAATCCACAGAGCAGCTGAGTGAAGCACATGAGCATGGTATTTCAAATCCAACTGCTCTTGTGACAGCACTGGGCTGTGACTGTGTGTGTATGTTAGTACATATGTAATGTAAAAAAGTGCCATTACTCAAATTAATCGTACTGTATGCCCTTAACAAGCCTCTCTTGAGTAATAAAGGTTATTTTTTTAATCCAACAAAATGCCTGCGGCCTTGCAGTCACACAACAGGCCAGACCTGCCGCTATGACAAATTCCAAAGAGGAGGAGAGAAAAATAAAATAATGGAAGTATAAATGTGCGGGAGAAAACAGGAAAAAATAAAAGCATGACAGAGTCTATAAATAGGATATATACTGAAGCCCGTGTGGGTCCAAGAGAGTGTGTGTGTGTGTGTGTGTGCACGACTTCGTAGCAGCCTCATTTTCTCACATGCAAATGAAGGCGTCGGCGCAAAGATAACGAGGCCCATATTTCCACCTCCTCAGTGGGGCCATTATTTATTGATGTTCTGCATCTTTCCCCCTCCCTCCCACTCTCACGCTTTCTTCATCCTCTCCCTGTTGCTAGGGTCTTCTCACCGCCATCCTGTTACAATTTCCGTGTACTTTCAGCAATTATTAAAGCGCAACGTGTTTACAATCATCAAGGACGAAGCGGTGAAACCCTCTGTGTTGTGCGACTACAAAAATCATAATGGTGAACTGGTGGTAGATGTCAGTGAAATTAATGGGGATAAAAAAGCATCAGTATGAAGTTGCTAAATATAGCTTTTCAGATGCAAGTGGGTTTTGTATCCAATCACAAATATTTTCGTAACACACTTTCTTTTAGTTGACACATTTCCAGAGGCTCAATCTGAAGTTTTCTGGTTTCTGGTTCAGTCCAATTCTGTGCCTCTAAATAAGGATAATGAAAGGAATTTCTTTAGTTTTTTAGACTTTCAAGACCAAGGTGTGTGTTTGATGTCGACATGAGGCTGTGAGTCTCACATACTCACAGAAAGTAGTTAAAAAGTACTTGTTCTTTGGCAGTTGTAAGTGCAGTTCAGAAACTAAGTTGGACTTCTCTCAATAGGAAACTAATTTAGCTCTTGGAAATGAATCTGACCTACATGCTTTAGAGGGGCAAATTTCCACACTATCTAGACTAGTCTATTTTAGGAGACAACCTTTTTCCTCTCTTAGCAAGAATCATCTTGAGAGACTAACCTGTCCGAAATACAGCTTTTCCTGAGCAAAAAGCAAATCAAAAACTAAATAAAAATAAAAATACATGCTGACTGTATGATCATGCAGCCCTCACAGCTCTAAGTGAAAATACTGGTGTTCCTATGGGAATTCCCAGTATGGACCCCATATCTAATCAGTTTGGAAAAGGCTAATGATGTATCGAACTCACATCCCTGTTTTGCTTCTGGCAGATCACTACAATCTGATCCCTGGAGTCTCCATCCTATTCAACACTGTTGATGGTCAAAGGCAGTGGTTCCTTGCCTTGAAGGGCTCTCCTAGTTAAATGAAGGTTAGTGTATTTTCACTGCTCATTATTATGACTATAAGCCTGCACAAGGAGAAAATGTGGCAAAGCAGTGTAAGGTCAGAGGTTTCACTCCTCCACAAACTGATAACAGTGAGCTATAAATCCTCAGATAGATGCCTACAGCACAACATGTTTATCCATTGAAGAGATAAAGTTAAAAGATTAGAAGGAAATTGACTCAAAAAACTCGGTTACCTTTAAGATTACACACAAGCTGATATATGTACACATTACCTGAGGCCACCACATATTCTATTACACTCAGACATACAGTATGTCTGCCTTTGTGTAGACAGAAATTTGTATTGAAGTGGATCACTGATTAATGATAATAATATAAAAATGATTAGTATTTTTCCTCTACTGAACATAAAAACAGCTTTGCACAAAAATACTTGGAATATGTAACTTTAACAATTAAAAACAGCCTATTTTATCTATGTATGTGGTGAGTGCAGAAGATTGTAAGCTTGCTGACGGACAAACATTTTGCTCCAGTAGACCTGAGACCTCCTGTGTACTGCCAAAGGTAAGTGTCTGGCCTAAGCTCCAAATATCTCCACAACGCTGATAGAAAATAAACACATATAGCACATGAATGTCAGAGTTTAGTTAGTTATTGTAATGTGGCTGGGGGGAAAAAAATGGGCAATACTCAAGTTTGACATAAAGACAAAATGCATTCTGTATGTCTGCCTT